AGATACTGCGGCCTGCTTGGCTGAAACTGAATCAATATCGAAGCTCGACAGGCGAACAGGTGGCTGCGTCAAAGTATTCAAAAGTGCTGGTGCTCTTGACGCGATTAAACAAGATCCATCCCAGATATTGTCCCAAGGAAGTCAGACAAATACTGTCACGATTCCGACGCCCCGGTTCGGAAGAGATACAAAAGGCAAAGCCGGGCAAAATCGACGAGTATGGCAGGTCCGTGGGTATAGGACGAAGGAAAGAGTCTTCAGCGAAGGTGTATCTGGTGGAAGGTACAGGAGACGTATTGGTCAACGGGCGCAGCATCATACAGGCATTCCCACGGCCCCACGATCGAGAGAGCGCACTTTGGGCTTTGAAGATCACACAAAGAATGGACAAGTACAATGTCTTTGCAATGGTATCCGGAGGGGGGATTACTGGTCAGGCCGAGTCAATCACATTGGCTCTCGCCAAGGCTCTACTGGTACACGAACCAGCTTTGAAGCCAGCTCTGCGACGAGGTAAGCGAAAGTTTGTTCCGTCTGTGTTCGCTCTCAGTCTCTAATTCTCAATCCAGCCGGCTGTGTTACTTCGGATCCCAGACGCGTCGAACGAAAGAAGCCCGGTCGACTCAAGGCACGCAAGAAGCCAGCTTGGGTCAAACGGTGAGATGTCGAGGTACGCTCATGGTACTCGTTTGTACATCAGTGTATCAGTGCCCCGGGTATACCAGAGGTTAGCAGAGATCCAGGTCAGAGCCTTGTGCAACTGGATGACGATCGTCTCGCCTGCAGATGGCAAGAGGTGGTGGGCTTGAATCTGTGGTAATTGCTATGGTTTCAATCTGGGGGAATCTTTGGTTCGTGGCTCCTCGAGGGAGGAACATGTAATTCTGACTTGGATTTTCATGGTACGGGACTACGACTCGACATGCTGCATGATGGAATTGGGTGCCAAACCATTGAATCGGCGTTGCAAGACCTCGTCAGCCCTGTAGGCAGAGTAACACAGACACGACTCCGGGCAGATAGCCAGATGGATTGTGTCGATTAGCGCGGTATTGACGTTGGCGGCCCTCACGTGCCTCGATTCTGATACAATGAGCCATATTCCAAGGTTGGGTGTTTTGATCCCAGCATGTCGCGTCGCACCAAGTCATCTCACTCATCTTAATACGCTGGTTGCTCTTTGGATTTTGACTGCGCCAATCTCACAACAACCACAAGGAGCGTCTTGTCAACAGTCTCAACGCTCCTGCAAGCGAGATGTCAGATCTCCCAGTAAGTCACCCCGTGATATATCCTGCAGGCCACACCGTCATGGTGATCATCCCTAAGCGAGATGCCGGCAGATCCCTCTGCAAGTTTTCGGTGTGCTCAGTGCTGGGACCTTGACTTGCACATGTCGAAACACCATGACTAGTCCCAGCCTAGCACCGCGCCCTGCATGGCACACGCAACTTTGCAAGATTGATTGACCAGTTTGCTTCCTTGTTCGGTGGAGCCGTTGTTGGAGAGGCTCATCATCCCAAGACTGCCTCGGAAGTCGTCTTCCAGAAGTGCGGTCCGACCAGTCTTTGACCTGAAACGCATGTCCAAAATCTGACGGGGGAGCTAGATGGGTACTGGGCAGTGTACTCGGTACCTACTTAGGTACCTACAGTTCGAAGCGCGGCATAAGCACCACGGGGAATCCGCCGAGTGCCCGCCAGCAATTCAAGGCTCGCTGATCGCCGTCGCATATGAGACTTCACGGCTCTAGCATTCAGAGGATGGAGAAAGTGCAGGACAAGGCCTTCCCCGACGGCTTTGGTGCAGCTCGCGTCCTGACACTGTACCGACTTGTTTGTGTTCGAGTGCGATACATGTCAAGAAGGACCGAGCCACAAAAGATATGAAACAGAGCGCTGAAACGCGCCCTCTAAGCCACACGCTAAACGAAGCCTCACTAACCTCCAGGATGGCCCAGCTCCATGCGGCTCGGAAATACACATCTAACAACCCCGCGAGAACAGTTGACGATGCCCATCGGCACTTACGACCACCGCGATGCCATGAACCCGTTTGGGCCATAACTCGGCCGCAAGCCCACATGTCGGAATGAGTTCAATCTTACGAATTTCCATAAGAAAATTTCGATGCTGCTGTCGGGTTGCGGAGATCTTTGGGAACCTAAACCACTCAAGGAACCAGGTGTGAAACATATGCATGCTGCAGGACTCCTTGTTTCCACTCCGCCGCCGTCGCACGGGTATGCCAATAACGCATCTGAAATTATGTCAAAGATATCATTGGCGTGACAGTCCGAGACCACCTTGTCGCGTCCGCGCAGATGCATACAACATGCAGGTCCAGCCTCAGGGACGAAATTGGAGCCAAAACAATCAGAGGACGCCTTCGTTCGTGCTGTTTGCGTGACTCGGAGATTGTTACCGAATACTGAGTTGGGAAGAAACAAAAAAACAAATCACTTTACGAGATGTGTGCTGTGAATACGAAGCGACCATGTGTACGGGAAGCAAACGTGGCTTCATCGACCATATGACAGGTCAGGCGTGGGGATTTACAATGCATCCATCTCTGACACAGGCGCATCACTCACACTTCACGGGCTCTGGCTGACAGCTTGCCAGATCTTTGGGTCGATGTTACCATTGTGGCCATCCGACTGGCTGATGGAGGCTCGGCTCGATAACGCCTCCAGATCGATGGGTGTCAGGTACACAACCGACATGTCTATGTCGGGATAGAAATGCATTGGGCCCTTGAACAAACGCCCTTGACTTGTTCAATCACAAATGTCGGACAACTGCCTTTGGTCATGAATTCATTATTGGGACGATTTCCAAGCCAGAGTAATGCTGACTACAACGGTACTACACAATGTGATGCTTTTCGGACTCCCCGTCCATTGCCTAAAAGTACCTCGGGGACTCCTTTCGCGACAGACGGAAGAGGCTCCGTCAGTTTACAAGCTCGCCTTTCCTCTCCACGACCGAGGTGTCATAACACTTGGTTGGGGTCGAGGATCTTGGCCGCAGATGTCATGTACGCTCAGCCAGGATACAATTCGAGCATTGTTCGAATCTTTAGAAACGGTGCCATCCGTCAAAGGGCGGTTGTACACCTGACCATCGGCTCCGGGTGACACAACACATCCCCGAGTTGGACTCGAAGGGCCTCTATAATAATTACCTGAGGATCAATCAGCGGCGCAAGAGCGTGCCCCGACACCTCATCAGCCGACTTGGTATATGCCATCACAGCTGAGGTTGAGCACTCTAAACTTGTCGTCTTGGTCAATGGCTGCTTCTAGAGCATCGTCTGGAGCCCTTCCCAGCTGCGGACAATCCAGGCCACGACGGGGCAACCAATCCTTATGCCTAGGATCAGCTGTGGTGCGGACGGTTTGAAAGACTTGAGCTCCAACCAGGTGTCATGCTCCCCCTGCTTAATGTTCCTCGGGCGCCACACTCTAAATCTCGCCTGGCGCTCCGGCAGGTGGGTGCCAGTGACAGACTAAGATGCAAGCCTCGTCAGACCAGTGGCTAGTCCGGCTCCCTTGCGCTTGATGAGAACGCCCCTCGGCCATTAGCGAACCCCTTGCAAAGGTCCTGGAACAAGATCCACTGGCGGGGTCGTCATGCCCATTCAGACGCATCTTTTGCCTGGTTTTGCCCATGGGTCATCCCATCCTGACGCTTGCGAGGGTGTCATCTTCGCGCATCCATGAACCTTGGGCAGCGTCGCCAATGCCCGCTGGGAGGTTGACAGCTTGGTTCTGAAGCCCTTCCTCCATTGCTCCAGCAGCGAACTGACCGGGCGGGAATTACCTGCAAAGCTTGAACCCGCCGCTGCCCAGAGGTGATCTCCAACCGGCTGGCCTCTTCGAAATGGAGCCTTTGGCACTCGCCCCCAGGCCGTGGTGGGCATCTCTGTCCTCCTGTGGCGCTGCCCACTTCAAAAGACTTTTTTCTTTGACACCTGGCAAGAAACGCCTTGCTTGCTCTGCTGGACCTTGGTGAAAAAAACGACATCACCGGCCGCGTTGGGAGGAGTTAACTTTGACGTACCAGGAACGAAGCGACCCATCGATTACTGCCATGCGGTATCTGCGCCATTCCCCATCCAAGTCTCCTTGGTTAAAGTGTTTATTATTGATTTGAGTCGTGCGCACTTTCGCCTGCCACGGCAGCTGCACCTCAGGCCTCTTTTTGTATATTGCATTCCTCCACAATTCCAAGGTACCTGGGTCTTCTTCTTTCTTATGCTACCGATCGCTCCTTCACTATTTCTTTCGTACGATCCTTTGCTCCATGTACTTGTATTCGTGCCTTGAACTTCGATCTATTCCGTCTACCCACCCTTCTGACGCCACTAACCCCCACTATCCTTCGACATACTCGTCCACACTGTCCGAACTCTTGGGCGCGAGAACGTTTTCTTCAGCTGTTGACACGGAGGAGCATATCCTGAGGTCATTTGCGACGTCTATGTGCGGCTGAAGTCGCCCTGAATTCATTTGTGCTTGACTCAACGACTTGCGCCGTGGACGCTCGAATCGAGAAAACCAGAACAGCGACCGAAGAACCAACCACGGACGGTCCTACCGCCGGTCCCTTCTAGACAGTCTTGGAGCAGGCGGCAATCCGAAACCGTTTTCGCACTTTTCTTGTCGATTCTTACAGGTCTTCACCCAGCTATAGAGGTGGCGTGTCAAATCTTTCCTTCAAATATCATTACTTCTCTTCGTCTGTAAGGACTGCCATCCCACGAGACCCGGCACACAGCTTTCTGCCGATATTACGATATCGACCTCCTGCCTCATTCCGCCCTGTATTGGTTGTATGAGGGACCGAAATCAGGCAAGGGGGAACGGAGAGGCATCCGTGGTCAAGGAGGAGGCTGTCCTTCCAGGTCCATCATATCACATCAGGGCATACGATTCTCAGAAGGCGCAAGACTGTTTCTGTCAACCTGGCGTCGACAGACGAGTCTGCTTTCCTTAAATGGACGGCAGTGACCGTCGGCGCACCCAGTATGGACCACCATACCAGTCACAAGCGCCATCGCGCCATCTACCAGGAGAAGCCATGGGACCACCCTCTGGGGATAGGTTTGCGCAGCCAGCAACGCCGGCGAGAACGGATATCGGCAGATCTTCAATGACGCGACCTTTTCTTTCCGGCTACACTGGCTACGGGTACCAAGACCCACAATATGGCAGCTCCCTGCAGAGCAGCAGCCCGATGCAAGGGGTCGAGATGCAATACTCACCTGCGTACCTGTCGCAGGCCTCCAGACAGCAGCAGGTACAAGCCTCTCCCTCCCAGCAACAGCACCAGCCGTATGCGCAGTACGCGGCTTCCTCTATGCTTCCGCCAGTGGGAGCACAGGCGCTCTATGAGAGCATCCCTTTCCAGCAGCGACAGACTGCGATCGAGGTAATGACAAGTCAATTCGCGATGCCTCAATATATGCAGCAGAGCGAACATACAGGGGCAACCCTCGGATCCGGTGCCGCTCAGTTCTTGACTTCTCAAGCTGAACAGAGCAGCTACAGTCATGTAGCAGCAACTCGGCCACCTCTGCCTCATCCTTATGCTCCTGGGCAAGTCGACTTCCCGGTCATGGAACAACAAGAGGCAGAAGCACCAGCTGTACTGAGCGGCGTTCAAGCAGCCCTAGGAGAGGGTCTGAGGGACTACCACCAGCAGCTCAGGGCCACTTTCGACGCGATTGTTGCAGGCAGAGTAACAGCAGCCAGCGAGAAATTGCTCGCTCTGACTCGGTGGCTAGTCAGCTCTGTTACTGCTTTGGGTAAGTTGCATCTGTGATGAGAGGGAGTGGAAACCGAAGCTAACTCTTTCCAGGTCTGCACCACGACGACGAGGCGAGACATACGGAGCGCGTCGAATTCTGGCGGGAATTGAACTTATGCTGGGAGGCGCTCGGACAAAGGCAGAAAGAAATCACAGAAGAAGCCCTGAGAACTAAGAGACCGCCTGTGGATATGCTCTCAGCCAACACCATGACAAGTTTGATGGACGACTTGGTGACTATGTGCGATCAATTGGAACAATACGGCCTCGTTGACTTCGAGATGGGCATCTGGGAGGAGCAAATTGTGCATATCTTCTCAGTCTGCCTCAATCTCCTGCCTCGCGGCGGACTCAAACGACGAGCCAGCGAGAGCCCGGGCTAGGAGTGAAGTCGCTCGCATCACCCTGATCTCTTCAGCCACGATTCTACGACACATTACGAATTGGAACTCTTTTCCTCTGTGGGCAACGGCATTTCATTACCTGATGAATTATACCTCGTTCTTTTCTTCATGATACATGAATTTGTACGACCAGGACGCTTTTTGGACTTGCATGATGTACGACTATGATTTGTGAGAACCGGTAATCCTGGCTCACAACAAAAAGCATTCCGAGGGGGGAAAAGTGCGGGAAACAGGAATGGCGGAATTTTACTTTTAGTTGGCCCTTACGATATTGTTTGCATGGCTCGATGCATGTAAAGGAGGAATATTCTGTACAATAGCTGCCGTCGACTTGGTCGGTACCATTTCGGGCTTTCTCAAGCATTTTCCTTGGGATGAAGAGAGAGTGGCGGATACTGAAGCATTGCAAGGCTCCTCACTGTGGTTGGAGGCAGATCCGCATGTTTTGTTTCCCATTCATAGGTGGCACCGAGTGGTGCGAGTGGTGCGATCGAGTGACGGTCCAGCCGCCAGGGACCAGTAGCTCTATCCTCACTTGAAGCAACGCTCGCTCTGACCATGGCCTGACTCCCGGCCTTCAGCATTGTCATTAGCTCTGAGAATCTAGCCTCACTTTGGCCTGGATGTTGTGTGTGGTGTCTCACTGTAAGACCCAATAAAAATACTCGGACAAGGAAGTGCTCGAAGATGTATATCTGTATTCACGATTTGATACGTAGGCAACAATAGACCCTTTTTGGCAGTCTCCCCACAGTCTCGGGCACTTTTATTGAGTCGACAGGAATCTCTTGCATAGGTAAAGCTGCCCTTGATCGTCGAAACCCGGATCCCTGTTTTCGCTTGCAGGGAGGCGTCACTTCCATGGAGCCTGCCCAAGGAACCGTGAGTCCGTAACTTCGGATGATCATCAACTAGCGACTCCTTGTTTCAGGTGACCGCTCACCGTGTTCTGGTCTCTTAAAAGGCCATCGAAAACAGAAGTGGAACGTCCTGCGTAGGTGTCGAGGTGTGGCGGTTGGGACTTGGCTGCGGCCTACTCCCGGCTGCGGCGTGGGTAAAGCAAGCGGGCATGCCAATCAGAGATCGTGTGATTGATGATTCGACTTGGATGGAGGAGAGCGAGCGAGCGAGCGAGCGAGTGAGTGAGCTAGGGAGAGTATCTGTGTCGAACATTTACAGTCTACAGTAAATACTCGTATGAAAGTTGTTCCGGAGTGAGGCACGAGTACTTGTATGATCAAGGCTTGAGGAACCATTTGACAGCTGCTGAGGTGTCTGTTACTGACACCATAACCGGCAAACTGTCAGGCCTCCAATCACTTATGCTCGAGTCTATCTATCTAGTTATGGATTTGGCGACGCCGTCACAAGACTCTTCTCCGCCTTTAACTCGTCGACTTGGAGCGCCAGCGACTTCTGGTACAGCTTTTCGCACTCGGGACGCTGGATCCTGCATACTTTACTTGTGCAGGGAGCGAGAGCTAGGTTATGGCAAGAGCCAGAACTCTACGAAGATTCGGCCGAAAGACAACGCCCATGTTGCTGTATATCACTTACCTGAATCTGGTCGCAAGGGCCAACCGTTCTTTGACGCATTGCACGAGGATCGTTCCGACAAACTCAACGTCTATCGTGAGCTGCCACTGAAATGTGAAGCCAGAGAGATCGTGGTGGATGAGGAAGGAAGGGGATCAGAGCAGGCTTCGAGCTGATACCGTCATATGGAGCCTGGGCTGGGAACCTCGTCGTGGCTTCTTCGACCCCAAGGAAGGAGCAGAGATTGGTCTTCCCGTGACCTTGAGCAGCATCGACAGCAAGAACAAAGGCTCGTCAGCACCTGCGAAGGGTGCTGTTCCCATTTCATCTCCGGTAGCACCGACAGACTTGACTCTTTCGGACCTTGATATGTAGGACGGCAAGATTCGAAAACTGTTCCCAGCAACCTGGCGAGGCTGGGACCAGACGGCCGCTGAACGGCAAGACTCTAACCGCACCTTTCCACATACACGATAGGTCTTTGTTGCTTCATCATCCCGGCCAAGCCACTTTGCGAGGAACGACCGCACGCTCGCAACTGCTGGCTTCATATCCTCTGGTCAGGCGGTCGCTACATCACAAACTGGCACGATTAAGAACTGGTTCGGGAAGTATTTTAAGCCCTAGATCGCGTCCGACTGGAAGGGTGTCGTGGAACGGTCCCTGAGGAACACGGAGAGCGCGCTGCAGGGGAAAGAAAACTAGGTCCAGACAGGCTGATTCCATCAGGCTGGCAGTTCGTACCCGGCCGGGAAGGTGAGCTGATGGGACGGGCAACACCTTTTGTCCTGCACGATCGGCTTGAATGGATCAATCAACTAACTGATCAAGTGTCTCTGGGAAGGGCCCGACTCCGAGGGACCAAGTGATCAGGCCTCTGGCTGTGCTGCATCAGGACTTCTATTGGACACTCCATGTGCTTTGGCATTCTGCTTCTTCTCAGTCCAATCGTTGTCTCCTTTCCTGTCAAGATGCAGGGCACTAGTGCTTCTCGGAGCTGCAGGCCATGCATTAGCGGCAGCACTGCCTTCAGCTCCAACAACTTTTGCAATGGTGAGGCTGTGGGTTTGCAAGTACACACACACACACACACACACACACACACACACACACACACACACACCAGGCTGATCGTCCAACGACTTTTGTGCTTGCTCACTATGTCATGAGCTGCAAGCCCAACAGCTTAAAAGCCATGAAAGCGCTCTTGCCTGTGGCATTTCCTCCATATCTCCAGCTTCCAGCTTGAGACTCATCCTCCTCTCTTCTCAGCCTCGCCGAGAGTCTGCAACGGCAGCCATGGAGCCACGAAAACGAAACCATGTGTGCAAGCGCAGAAAATGGGAGGAGATTCGACCGATTTTCACAGAACTCTACCACTTCCAGAAGAAGAAGCTCTCCGATATCGTGGAGATTCTAGGAGAGCAAGGGTTCCATGCTAAGTGCGTGTCGGTCCCGTTGTGAGAGTGCCTTTTCATTTAACAAGTGTCAAAGGGAACACCATTACAAGACACAAATCAGAAAGTGGCGCCTTGATAAGAAGAACAAGGTCTGTGTTGGGTCCTTCGTGTATGATGAATGTCGACAGACAGATCTGACACCGGGTTGTAGCAATCCGATATGATTTTCGCCCTTCAAAAACTGCGGCAGAGACAGGGAAAAGACACAGCTTTCCTAATCCGTGGACAGGCTCGCTCCAGCGAAGAGGTCGAACACTACTGGAAGCGCAGCCGTGACGATCCTGCACGATTTTCTCCAGTCCCAAAAACCCCTGACGGCATGGAATATGGCACCCCAAGCCCATGTCCCGGGCGAGAGACTGGTGAGGCTGGATCCCAGGTCCCCGCACAGGACGATGCCGATTCCTCGCCTTTTGTCGAAGACGAGGATGTCGCTGCTGTCTTTCAGTACATCAAGCGGGATTGGATTCGCGCTCCTCGAACTACCATCTTACGCCTCCTCGATTCTCCGGAACACTTGCGACCCTTAGATCAAGCCTTGCATCATGCCAAGATGGTCTTTCAGAGCCATGTTGAGTTTGCAAATTCTGACCTGCGTCTTGTCTCCGGGCGTGTAGGCATCGGAGCTCTGATTAGGTTCATGAATCTTGCCGAGAATGCTTTGGTGGCCATGCAGTACGGTCTCTCTCATACTATTGTAACAACTGTGCTCCTCGACATGTTGGAAAGCATTCCACATGTGGGGAAATGCAACTTTATGGATGCAACGGTGAGATTTCTGTATGTCATCGCTGGTTACGCCATCGGAGGACAGATGCGAGCGTCAAGATTGATAAGGACGGCACAGTGTGAGATTGTGAACAGAGTCGGCCACGTTTACGGTGACGATCATCCGGTGCCGGTTATTTTGAGGGCCGCAATCCGATCTTGGGAGGACACAGCCGCAACGTCAGAGATGGTTTTGGCGGCTGGGAAAGACATACTAGGACGGCACCTCGGACATGACCACAATGACATGGAAGAGGTGCTCGGAAGCCTCTGCGACGTTGCTCGGATGTCTGGCGATGTCAATGCTTCACTGAAACACGCCAACGAGCTATATCAGATGACGCTTTGGAGACACCGAAGAGACATGACCCAAGCCAGCCTCTTAGCGGTTTTGGACTCTCAAGTTCAATTAGCCCGTTTACATGCATTATCCGACGACTTTGAAGAAGCGGACCGCTGGATCGAAGTTGGCCTCCGAGGTTGCTCCGAGGTAAAAGATACACCAACTCGAGAATGGTTCGAAGCCTCGTTCATATATTACAGAGGCTTGACGATGGAGAAGTCAGGTCAATGGTCCGCGGCTTTCGAGACTTTTAATAAAGTCATTTATCTGATGATGCGACGGTATGGGCCCACAGATCATCTCGTTACACTGGCTGCCCAACAAATGAGATGGATACAGTCGCACCTGGCTGAACAAGCGCAGAGTCTGAGTGCGACAGAAGGAGATTATCACAGCGGAAGACGAGAGGATCCCTGGATTGCCGGTCAGGAGGAATCAGGTATCGACCGGCAATCACAATCTTTGGGTGATGGGGAAGTACTGCCCTTCACCCCTGAAACAGCACTGCCTTCCGAGGATGGAGGTTCACACCTATACACGAACCAACCGTCGACCCAGCCCTGGACAACCGGGCACGTCGAAGAATGGACGGATGAACGAATGGAGGACCAGTGGGACAGCCAAGTTCCAGAGCCACAAGCAGAAGAAGGACACTCGTGGATGGCTTGGACGAATGACGACGGAGTCGAGTGGACAGGCTGAACTGGCATGCAAGAATACAAGTACACGCCGTGTGTTAACGTTGATCATGGTGATGGCGACGGAAACGCTGACGGTGACGATGATGATGTTGAACGGTCCCTTTTGAACGAACAGCGACGGAGTTGATCACAAGAAGGCGTTATGGCGTTGTGTAGTTGACTTTACATCAAGTTGTGTTGTGTTATGTTACGTTGTGTTCCTGCACCAGAATTCTTTCCCAATCACGACTCTTACTATTTGCATGCATGGACAAGACGCATCGCAGACACCATAATAATGGGATCCTCGCGACGTTTTCCTGTCCTTATACTGAGTAATGTCGGGATATAAACTCCTCTTGAGTGAGGACGTGAACTCTCGAGTGAGGAAGAGCTGGTCAAAGGAGCAAGGAAAGTAAATACTGTATTCGAGCTGCGTCTTCTCTCCACATCATCGAGGAGCCAGCCGGACACATTCATATCAAGACAGAGTGCTTTTCAAACAGACCGAATGCATTAAACAAAAGCCTCTCCACCCTGACCAACAGCTGTAAACAATACAAAACTGACCATTTGACAACCTTGGAACTATTCACTCTCCGCTATCGAAAGATGCGTCTCTTTTTGAGGACCTCCCTCGAATATCCCAATCCCATTGCCCATGCCCGTGTTGGACCTTTTTGAGCCGACAATCTCAAACGCCTTGCTGGAAAACCCACGCTAAGATACCTCCGGATCCAGTCATTCACGCCCATGACGGCCCCTTGAATGTGTCCAATATGCACAAAAACAGAATAACACAAAAGAAAGAATAGGCTTCCTCCCCCGGCGTCTCCAACGGCGCCAGCTCACTTCTCTTCTCTGGTCGGCTCAGTCGTAACATCGCAATCGAGCCGTCAACGTGCCTTGCTCGTTGCACCAGCCGTTGCACTCTGCGGAGGTACAGTCGCTGTCCCGGTTCCTTGCGTATTAGGTCGCGGGCCTTGACTCTCCCCATCTTCCCCCACAACTCTAACCTGAGGATCCGGAATCTGTATATCCAGATTCATGTATCCGGTCCTCCTCAAGGGAATAATCTTCACCCCGTCCCGGGCACCGACGGTATGATTCCAATCCTCCAACCACTCTTCTAATCCCCTCAGAGCGCCTTTGATTCCCCAGGGCCGGAAATCTTCCCAGAACCAACCTGTTAATACACCCATTATGCCATCAAACCAGTTCCACGCCGAGAATGGGTCATATGCTTGACAGAGAGTTTGATTGATGTGTTCTATTACATATCGAAATTCTTGTTCTTGCATTAACGGGTCGAGGATTTCGGGGTATATATTTGAGAATGTAGGAGCGAGATCGCCTACCACCATCCAGTCGCGACGGATGCGGATGATGCGGGTGGCGGCGTATTCGCGTGAGTGTAACGGGACGTGTGGATTGTAATGCGGGAAACATGGATGAGACGGACCCCAAGCGAGTTCCTCGGCGACGTCGCTGTCTTCATCTCCATTCGCTGCTCCTCTTTCGACGTCTTCTAGGGATGCCGTATTCGGAGGATGGCCGCTGTCTGTGTAGGCTCTCCCGCCGAATGCAGAGGAGTGTATCGAGGCTGCGGACTGTGCACGTTTCAGTGACTTGTGAGAGGTAATGCGCCTAGGAGGTTGTAAAGGTTGATCGAGCGGGTTGACGCCGTAGCTCTGGCCTAGCACAGAGGGTCCTTGCTGCGTGGACGCGTTGTCTACATTATATTTGGACGTAGGAACTGTGTGTGCCCGTTCAGGTGGCTTGAGATCACTAGGATCTTGCTTTTCCAAGTCCACCATCAGTCCAACACCTCGAGAGGAAGACTCTGGAAGAAAATTATTGCCGCGCTGTTGATTCGAAGGGAGCCCGATGCTGGTCCTGTCGCCCGTTGGAGTTAGATGAGGACTGTGTTCGACGATAGGGTCTGTGGGAGAATGTTGACGTGAGCGACGTTGTTCGGGGAGGCTGAGAAGAGTATGGACTTCGCCGGTGCCGCGAGCACCGGCACCCACGTCGGTGGACAGCTGAGGTCGTTGAGGTTGGACGCGGACTGGAGTAGGACGGGGGACGTGGTTGATGGGATTGAGGACACGTGAGGCAGCAGAGCGGTTGTCGGGTGGAATGGTTCTTTTTGGGCTCTGCCGCGGGAGCAGCGCTTCGAGGAAGGATCTTCTGTACGAACTAGGAGCTTGTGAAGGTGCAGGCGGAGGGGGAAGAGGCTTCTGTTGGTATAGGAGGTAGTCGGCAGGAGGCGCAGGTTCGGCGTAGGACGAGGTCAATGATCGTGGGTCGGAAATGGGAGGATGGGGATGATGGGTCTTCGGAGTCAGTCCAGGTGCATCTCTAGCAGGTTGTTTTTCAAGCGCCCGCGGTGATAGATGGCTGTGATCGAATGATGCAGGCTCCGTGGTGTTGGTGGTGGTGTTGATGGTGGTGTTGATGGTGGATGGTGCAGCAGCGGCAGCGGCAGTAGCAGCGACGTGGGCGTGAATGGGTGGTGGAAAGGGGCGAGGCACGGGCGTGTTTCTGGTGGGAGGAGTCGTGCGAGTCGTGCGAGCCCCGGGGTGCTTGGTGCTGATGCTGGCTGCGGTTGGCGGGCGCTTGCTGGGAGAAGGAGCCCACGAAGCCCTAGAAGTTCTGCTAGAATTTCTTCTGGCCTTCGATTATGCAGGAACCAGGACCACGGCAAACTCTCTTGACTGCGACTGTGACTGCGGCTGCGGCTGCTGCTTCGGGCACTCAACCGCCTGCGCAGCATCCTGCGCTCTCGGTGCAAATCTTGTGTGAACCAACAATTACACTCATACAATCGAGTCTTCAAAGTGGGATCCTGGAGAAGGAGAACGTCAAGACAGAGACAGAGGGGAATCCATTCTTCTTGGTGCCCTACCACCGGCTGACTTGAGACTATTCCGTATCCTTTTGCCCTATTATATTGGCCTTTGTGCCACCATGCCTCCATCCCTCCCGAATCGGCTTCCCTCACTTTCCAGCCTGGTTTGACCAGGTTTGAGCCACTTCGCACCATTTGGCCTAAGCGATCCTCGCTCTCCCTTCGATTTATTGATCGCTAAACGGCATCCCACGCCGGGACGTCCTTTCCGCCTCTCCCAATTCGTATAAGACGACTTGCAAGGGTTGGGCATTTTCTACGAGAACACTTCAAAGAGGCTCTAGCTTAGAAACGAGACATGGGTGCGCAGATCATGGTGCCCAATTCTCTCCAAAGGCTGCTCGACCGGGGCGGCCTCTAGGCCCAGTAAACTTCCACAACGGGTGATAGACAATTGGGCATCACTTTGGGGAGAAAAAGGGGAAAGGATTATCGAGCAACGACTCGACCATCCAACGTCACCCTTCCGGGTGCTTCCCTTCCCTGCCCTTCTCGAGAAGTGTCTTCGACATCGACCAAAGACCAGGCTAATCGTTCGGATGACTCTGTTCCGACTCTTTCTGTATAACTGCATGTATCAGGTCCTCAGAAAAAGTTTCAGATATCTCTCTAGGGACAATTCTCATTCAACAAATTTGGGACTCATTATGTCATAACTGTCATGAGGTTGTAAGGCGCGAAAAGGGGGAAGATCCTCCGGAAATCCCTAAAGCAATCCCTAAGAAGTAGGGCCAGCCGCTTGCTGAAGCCTCCCCGTTAGGCTACTAAGCCTCTTTTCTCTGCCAAACTCGTCATTGGCTGCCCTGTGCAAGCGGGTCAACCTGCATGAACCGCTGCTCTTCGCGTTCGATACAGAAAAGACCGCCAGTGATCTCGCTTCTGGAAGCTGATGGACTCTCCTAGCTTGCCCAAGCAAAGCGGCTCAGTTCCCGGCTGGAATATCCTTGTCGCTGATCTGCCACGCTCAAAGCGAAATAATGCCCACGAGGCTTGCAATTCCCGCGCTCAAAATTAACATCAACTCCGAAGGTGAATTGAGCCGATGCGCATCATTTGATGACTGCGATGGAGAGGCTGATAAGCCGGTGGAAGATGCAGAGGTGGCCGAAGAACTTCCGATCGAGCTCATTGAAGTGCTTGCACCGCTTGTTGACATCGACGTAACAGTGGCATCTGAAGGCGTGGGAGTGGTTGCGGGAGGCATGGTCGATTGACTCGGTATTGCCACAGTGCTGAACAAAGGATTGGATGTTGATGTAGCCGCGGTCGCCTCGGGTCCAATCTGTTGTTCGCAACAAGTAAGCGTCTCGAATGTGTTCTGGATCTTCGTATTCTAATAGAAGGCCCCAATCGTTGACATCAACTTCCCCAGAACAGCAAGACTTACCGTCACAGGCACGCTGAATATTGCGCAGATCTCAGCTATTGCAGAAAACGTGACTGCGAGCGATCAGTCTCAGCATCCTGGCAGCATTTTGATGAACCCGAACAGACTTTCTTGATCAGTAGCATTGCAGGAGGCCACGGTACAGTTGTTGAGTCTCTCGATATACATGTTGTTGGCACACAGGCACGGCCATTCGCTTTTCACTTGTATCAGCCACTGACCTCACAAAGGCGCGCGCTACCTGTCGAGATGCGGTAACATGTCCTGGATATCCTACCTTTGCTGACAATTCGTGCCATTGACGTTGGCGACGCAATCGAGCTTTTTTTTGGGAGCACCTTAGCGAAAGCGGATCTAACTTCAGCAATAGTCGCTCATAATTACTTACAGCGCATGCATCAACATCGTCTTGAGCCCAGGCCGCGTTGGCAAAGCAGAGGCACCACAAGGCCAAGAGCAGAGGGAGGATATGGTCTGGGGTCATGACTGGACAGAGCTTGATGAGGAGTTGGTATCTTTTGAGGTCAGAAAATCTAGGGTATAGGATAAAGCTGAAGAAACAAAATAAACGTTATGGTGAAAGGAAGGAGATGGTTGTCCTTGCATACCAAGCCAGAGGGACACGCTGGTGGCGAGTGGCCGGGAACGTTCAACGGGCAGGAGCAGCTGACTTGCCGATATCAGGCAGCGACCATTCACCACCGCAAGAACTGCAAGTCACATCTCATGCAACCGCTGCCTTTCAGATGCAATGACTGCCTAAGTGGAAAGTTTGATGTCGACCCTTACCAGACAAATCGGTGTCGCTTGGGCTGCCGACTAGTCTGGGCTACTAGTAGAGATGGACGATGCACTCGCGTGACTGGCAGCTTGAACGGGTGTAGTTCTTGGCAGCCTCGTGTGGCAGCCTCGTCACACAACCTTCGCTACTCACGTGGCGACGCGGATGGAATATCACTCTAACAATACGTGGGAGCGCAATATTTTTGATTTTTTTGGTCAGTCGCAGTGTGATATGGATAATGGATTAACTTCTCAACTCCCCAGTAACAATACAATCCATCATGAATGCTAATAATAGTGGTGGTAGTCATCAATCTCGTGTCTTGACCGTCCCAGTGTGCTCATTTTCCGTGTCCAATGCAGTGGTATCAAAAAGAGAAATATCCTGGTGCCCATGTCAAGAATGCAACTCCCAGAAGTGCAATTACAGAGCAATCATGGTGGCAAAGATGGCCGCAACGAGAGCGCCGCAAGCGCCGAGACCTCGAAGAGAAGGAGCAGCGTTGCCCGAGCCGGAAGAGGAGGAGCTGGTGGCAGCGGCCTCAACGGCTTGAATACCAAAGGTTGTACCGGTGATGACTTGAGTCGAGCCGTCGGTGGTGACGGTGGTGGTGACGGTTGCAGGGACAGGAGAGTTGGTGGTAGTGCTGCAGCCAGACCAGGTACCGGTCCACGACGAGAAAGGACCCCAGCCAGCAGTCCAGGTAGTCCATGAATCGCAGTTGACGCCGCTGGCCTTCGTGCCCCAAGGTCCAAAGCCGCCAGGTCCAAAACCAGAGCCTCCGTGACCACCCCACATGCCAGGGCCGCCCCATGAGCCTTGACCACCCCATCCACTGGGAGCAGAGGGCAGGCCAGTGGAGCAGGCAGAGATCCAGCTTGACCACTGAGCCGAGTTCCAACCGCCACCAGGACCGAAGCCAGGGGCGGCAGTGATCTGGGAAGGCCAGGCAGAACCGCCAGAGGTAGCGCTGAAGGTTGCTTCTTGGGAGGCAGAAACCGGAGCTCCTGCGTTGGCGCAAAGCTGCGCAATGGCACCGTAGATGGCTATTTCCAATTGTCAGCTCGATGGCTCTTGTTCCATGCTCTTCTCGTAGTGACGACTTACCCTCTTGATCGGTGGTGTTCGTGCAGGAGGTTGCGACACAGGTATTCAATTGGGAGATAGCAGTTTGATTGGAGCAGAGGCAATCCCAACCGCTGGAGGTGCTGCAGGACGAGCCATCCCAGCTCCCCATGCAGTCAGACCACTACCGACTTGTTAGAACCTGGATCGCCTGAAAGGGGAGAGACGCTGTGCGCAGGGACATACCGAGCAGGATGGGAGCCATGCGAGAGTGGAGGTGGTGAACAGGGCTGCCGCCAAGGGCACGGCCGATGCGAAGGACTTCATACTGAATGAGGATCTGTTATGTGCGTACGGAATATTTGTGATAGAATGGGTACGGGGTAGGGGTTATGCGTCTTCGACTGAGAGGATCGGTCGACGTCTGGTTCTGTTCAGGAGGACGGGCTTGTCTGTAGGGGCAGGGTCGCTGAAGAAGTGCAAGAGCGATGGGAGGTGGCAGGGAAGGGGGGAAGATATAGGGATTTTGTCCCGCACAACCAGCCTCAGGCGAGCCGTGCGTTTGTTGTCTGTCACCTTGGCCCATGTTCGCCCACCGCTAATCGCTGGGCTGGGGGACAGGGTGACGAGCACAGCCTTGCCGCATGGCTGGAAAGCGGTTGCTTGGAAGTCCGAAGTTAGCATCATTGTACGGGGGTTCAGTGGCTGGTAAGGGACAGTGCTAGCCGTGGACAGTTAGAATGCCTCTAGCGCAAGGACCGGAGGTCGGAGGGAAGGACGCGTCATGCAAGCCATGGTCGGGAAATTTCACTGTGGCAGGTCATGCACTGGCAGCACTGCATGTCCCTTGGGTCTTTTGAGTCCTTTTGGAGCCTAGTACAGGCACATCCCAATTGATTTCAGGGCCGCCAGGAGTCCAGGAACCTGTCGGGGGGTCCAGGGGCCAGGGCTGCCCTCAGCGATTGGCTTGGCATGCCCATCACTCCGTCGGGGCCAGGTTCGACGCCCAATCGGGGCTAAACTCAATCCTCAGTGTCCGGCTTTCGAAATCTGCCTTGATTCGTGTCTATTTTTGCGAACCTGGGGAAATCTCATAGTGTGCGGTCCTTCATCTGCTCCTCACTGTCCTCAGCCTCAAAACCCTCAGGGCCTCGCCGCCACCACTGCCTTGGGGCCTCAAACGGCTGCATATTCATGAATACCAGCCAAGCGAAGGGGCATTAGGCCTCGTATCATCGTACGTGATTGTCCGTCGACTCTGGGCATTATTCAGCTTCAACCGACTGTCTGCCCGACTGACGTGCCAATCAATACATTTGACGCGTCACGCTGCTTGTCCTACTGTAACCTCCCGATCTGTCCCTCAGCATCGTAGGCCATAGGAGTAGCAATCGGATGACAGTAGAGAGTCGGATGGATTGACGTCGCCTTTCCTTGAAGGGGATAATAACTGTGGTTGGTGACGTGGAAACCTTTCAAAGGGAGAAGCTGCTTCAGATCGGACAGTCGGGGGCTGGGGCCCGACATCCGAGTGCCGTCGACCCCTCCCGCCCTCTCGTGTTGGATGCCTGTCTCCAGCGCTGAACGCCGCAACACCTGAGCGAAGATTGGCGGATTCGGGCCCTAGTCACGCTCGGTTCAGGCCGCCAAGCGATGTTCCTTACTCTCACTCAACTGTGGTCCTGGCCCACCTGTTGTCCGAAAGCGCCTAGATGGAATCTGGGGCCGCTGCTTGATTAATTGCTCTTCCTTCACGCCGGGACCTCAAACAGTCCCGGCTTCATGTTGATCTTGCACAATTTCGCCAAACACCCGCTCAGTTGCAGAAAAGATTGGACTCCCTCGAGGATGCGCATGTGGGTGAATCCAATTTCTTTGATGAATTCGAGCTTCGAGTGTTCCGAAAGTGTGGGGATGGTTTTGGTAACTCGGAACATAGTGCTTATGATGTCGTGGGAGGAATATCCCAGATCCCTTTTTAGGGTTGCCCCATGCCGGTTAGCTGTTGCTTTCCATATTGTCGGACTCAGCCCACAATAATGAGATATGACTTACCATAATTCCTTCAACGAGTCAACTGCGCTGTCGATCTTGCCCTCCCAGCATGCCTTGATCATGGCTTGAACTTTGACGGGATGCGGACTGTCGACCACCCGGAATACGTTGTCCCCGCTGACGAACCCGAATCCTGCCCACGTACTCTGCAGGTTATTAATCGCCTGTCGCATGTCTCCTTCTGCGCTGAAAACGAGAGCGGCCAGACCGTCCTCGGAGTATTCCACCTTTTCAGCCTCGATTATTTGCATCAAGCGCGTCACCACCTGTGCGTCCGTCAGGCGAGAAAACCGCAGGATTGCGCATCTCGATTGCAGAGGCTCGATGATCTTGTTTGATTGGTTGCAGGCGAACGCAAAGCGGGTGGTGTTCGAATAGATTTCCATGGTTCTTCGCAAAGCCTGTTGTGCCCCGGCTGTCATACTGAATTCCCATGTTAGACTTGCGTAAATACGCTGGGCGTCCCCCTCCATACCTGTCTGCTTCGTCCAGAATGACCAGTTTGTGCCGCCCAGGAGGCAACGTCACCTTCTTCTGAGCGAATCCTTTGATTCTATTTCGGACGACATCAATGCCTCTTTCATCACTCGCGTTCAACTCCAGCACGGCCTCTTTGTATGCATCGCCCAGAAGTGTACGCGCAAGACACAGGACAGAAGTCGTCTTTCCGATTCCAGGCATGCCAGAAATGATGACATGGGGCATGTTTCCATCTTTTGCAATAATCTTGAGCCGTTCGATGATTTCCGTGTTTCCGACAACGTCGTCGAGATAGACAGGCCTGTACTTTTCTACCCTGCGCGTCGGTCAATTCTGCTCAGCGTTTTTTTGGGGTTGAGGACTGGCTTACCATGGCAGCTCGTAATCTGGCGTTGTACCACTGCTAGCACTATTGAGAGCTTTTCTCGCCGCAGCAGACGATGATTCGGCTTGACCTGACATTGTTCCGAGCTGGCTATACTGAGTTCTTGTTACTTAGGTGGATTGTTTGATCATGAACTTGACATGCGGCGCAGTTTCTCAAACTCTCACAATTGAATCCAAGCGCGTCGAACAAGACGCGTTAAGTGGCTTGGCGGGACACCCTCTTGACTTCGACCGCCCCCGCAGCAGGCTGTGGACCTTTTCTCGACCAGCAACGGCAAGAAATGCTGAGTGCTCGACAATCTACAAGTAATGATTTGAATCGGATCTGGTCTCAAGTACAACTCGGCGTATTGGCGTTTACCCACCATTTGGCGATATCTAGCTGATCCGACGAGTGTTTGGGCGAAAGACGACCATCACTGCCACAGAACGTATGAGGGCATCTTCCCAGTCCAGTCCTGCGGAAGCTGTGGCGATATATTATATGAAAGGGAACACATATACCCAGGAGGGATTCTGCCTTGGTGAGGGTGAGGTTCCTCCCACGGCAGACCGATCTCACCTGATTGAGCAGATCTATTATTGCTTCAGATGTGGACAAGCCGGCGAAATCTTCGCGTTTCCGTTTGAATTCGGCACCCCAAACCTCCAATTCATCCCACTTGTCATAGTCTGGGGTCTGGAAAACGTTCCATCAAAAGTCCAACTGGTCGTCGGCAACTGCGGCAGTCCTAGCCCTGCCTTAGCCATAGCCAAATTATCCTCATCTTTCTCGTTCCTCGTGCGTTCTTTTATGCCTCCTAATCAGGGATGAAGCCCTTTTCCACTTTCTTATTAGAGATGTTTCAAAAATATCGATGAAGATATGAGGGAGATGGTGCCCAAGGCGTGTACGCAGAGAAACCAATGTGACTTCAAGAAACCCCCGGGGTCTAATAAGGACAAGCCCAAACCCAGTCAGGTGAGACAGAATAGAAGAAAATAGCCGTGATACTCTACGAACCCAGTATAATCGTTAGAAGGACGATTAGAAACGCGGCAGAGTAGAGTACCAGCGCTATAGGCAAGGCAAGAAGACCAAAATTTGGCCGCTGCCAGAGGTTCAAGACTGTCATCCCGCTGTGGGCACCGTTGGTTTGAAATAGATGCCAGAGGTCGCACAGTGTCTCCCCTATATCTTGATAGATTTGATATAGTTCCGATTTTCCCTCGCCCAAGCTTAGGCGCACGACATAGACCTCGCCTTTTGGAGTCAGTCTGATCCTTCTTGAAATGTGCACGAGGATACCAGAGAGGAGGAAATCTTTTCGTGATTCTACCTCTCCGTTCTGCGTAATCATGACGTTGAAGTAAGGTGGACGCTCTGGCTTCCGTGGTCTGAGATAGTAAATAATGATGTTAAGTTTGTCCGGGGGCCGGGCATCAGGTGTCCCCTTCCAACGGAAGTGGCAGCACAGACTAACCCCCGATTCCAGCCAGTCACTCCCGGTGTCCCAGGAACGGGCTCCCTCCCTCGTTAGCTGGACATGCCCTTCCCGGTACATCCATAGGTTGGATGGCGTGACGCGGACCGCGTCGAAGGAAATGTTCTCATCCATCTCGATCGCAAATGACGGTCTTTGATGTTCCAATCGCATCTGCTCGAAGACAACGATCTCTTGATCACGCAAGAGATGACAAATTTGCCACCTCGCAAGAAAAAGCAGTTTTTGAGATATCGGAATAGGTCGAACATAGGCGGCTTGGGGATTAGATGGTATTCGGGCAACATCATAGCACTGGACGCGAGCATAGTCGTTGCCGCACGATACGAGGGGGATTCCAATGAGTCGAGCAGTATCGTCTTCCAATCGACAACTCAGCAAACCGTATACGCCTTTGATATTGTGTTGGCCGGCATATTGTATTAAAGGCAGTTCGAAGCGGAGACCACGGCTAGTCATTTCCATGGGCGAACCCGTGTAGCTGGGAACAAGCCAATCTTTCAACCAAGCTATCGACATCCACGGCGTGCTCTCCCTGAGAGGGAAAACAGAGGGCGGTATGGATAAGCTTGCTGCATAAAATTGGCTGTGTATGCGCGAAGAACGGACCAGGTGTCCGCAACCCGCAAAAGCCAACGGATGCTTCGCAAGCATACCCAAGGGCTCAAGGTTCTTCCTTGGAGCTACTGGCCGGGAACGCCAGTCGGCTCTATTATCTTGATTCCACTTCTCGTAGTGACTGTCGGGACCTAAACCATAACCCCACGCCAATAGAGATTGGTCGTCAGTCTGTCTCAGAATCTCTTCTTGAAGTCGGAGGAAGGCGCTGCTACCTTCGCCGTAGAGCAGTGCCATGTTGATACCGAAAATACCGAGCAAGCAGTATGCCACATCTTCCTCACGGGTCGTCTCGCGATGTGCTGCCCACGACATGCGCTGAGCTACGCTGGCGTGGTACAGCGGGACTGTGGCCGTCAGGTATTCAACGGGGATGTTGGTAATATCACTTAGGAGATCTGCCAGGTCGTGCTTGCTTGACAGTGGGACCCAGCATCTGTTGTAGAGGACGACTTCGCTCGGTGCCAGCAGCTCCTGCAGAGTCCAGCCTCGGGTGAACCATCGGCTGTTGCAGAGCGCTGTCCTTTCCTCTTCGGTATCCAGACCCTCGCCGCTCACGTCAGAAAGGAAGGCGTAGCACACCTGAGACTGGCGGTACCAACGAAACATGGAGTTGACTGCTTCAGAAAGCTCGACGATATTTCGCTTGTCGATGCAGCACGTGTCGATCCATACGTACTCTAATTCATCGTCCAGGGCCTGACGGCAGCATCCGTCGATCTTGCGGTACGAATTGCTGTCCCGATCGTAGGTACAATTGGTGAAAGATTCGAAAGTGATTTCGTTCAAACCCCATGTATGTGACAAAATCGCGTACGGCGGGTAGTTATGACTGAACTCGAACATCTTCCGCTGCCTAGCGTGCAAGAGACGCATGGTGGAGCCAGATCACGTTCGGCCAGTGTTCTGGTGAAGTTGTTGGCAGAGCGAAACAATGTCGGAGCTGACTGGATGGATGGCCAACCAAAAGTTTGGTCAGTAGCTGGAATTGAGCTCAAACTCCTGGTAATAAAATTGGTGTAGAAACGTTTGTGGTGATGAGTGTCTGCAGATGCAGGCAGTGATCAGTTCACCGCCAATCGGTGTCGACCAACAGAGCGTGTCCATTAGTACAGGCAACAACGGCACAGCCACGTTGTCACTATCCGCTGGAGGACTCCTTAGGCTGAGGGCTCCTTAGGCTGAGGACTCCTTAGGCTGAGGACTCCTTAGGCTGAGGACTCCTTAGGCTAGATTCCTCGTAGACGGTGGTGTCGAGGAAAGAACCATAGTCGGGCGCAGCAAATGGGACTAAGCCGGAGTTGAGCTTTTCGCGACTCCATGGTGATAGGCGTGGCTCGTGTCGGCCCCAGGGTCAACCATATAACAAACACCGGAGTGCAAGGTGGTTAATTCCAGGCGTCGCTGGGACCAGAGTTCGAAAAGGCCACGGGAGAGTAATGTTCATACCTCCATCGCGAGTAGTAGCATGCAGACGTAGGTTAAAGGCGTGCCTCTACTCACGGCACCTTTTAAATTATCTCGGAGCACATCTGCCGAAGTCTGGAAACGTCATGACACAGCAAATCTCTGGCGGCTCTGGGGCTTCAGGTACGAGGTTGATCTAGAAATTTCGCAAGGAGTATGTGGACAACTTGTCTACCACTTGCCAAATTTCTTCTATGAACTCGTAATTGTTCTCTTAAACTTTACTCGGTACACGATAAGCTCATTTGGTATCTGTCCGCGCGTCTAAGAGAAACCCTCTACGAGGTACTTGGTACTCGGTACAATGCTGGTGCTCACAGGGACCACGGGGCATTTAGGGTCCCGGGTTCTCGACACGCTACTCCGCCAAAGGCTGATCCCGCCATCGGAGCTGGTCATCTCATCCAGCCACCCCAACAATGTGTCGCCTGCAGCCCGGGATGCCGGGGTCGAGGTCCGGAAGGGTGATTTCACGTCTCCGGACTCGCTGGCAGCCTCGTTCAAGGGCGCTGACGCTCTGTTCCTGGTGTCGTTTCCCTCGCCCAGCGTCGATCGGTGGCTTCACCACAAGGCCGCCATTGACGCGGCGAAACAGGCGGGTGTCAAGACGGTGATTTACACGAGCTTGATGTTTGGCGGGAAGACGGGCCTCGACAGCATAGCCGGCGTGCAGCAGGCGCACATCAAGACCATCAACTACCTGACACAGAGCGGACTGCAATACGTGGTTGTGCGCGAGGGCATCTACGCGGAAAGCTGGTGGTTGTACGCCGGGTTCCAACCTCAGAAGTTCAAAAAGGGCGACATGGACGACATCACATTCGTCATTCCCAACGATGGCCCCGTCTCCTGGGTCACATGGGACGACCTCGGTGAAGCCACAGCCAAGATCCTCCGAGACTATGACAAGTATCTGGGCCAGACGTTGAACCTGACGGGGCCTCGGGCAACCAGCATCAGCGACGTGGCCAAGCTGGTCGAGGAGCACACGGGGCGGAAAGTCAAAGTCGACATCGTGGGTAGGCAGGAAGCCGAACGGTACCACAAGTTTGAGAAGAAAAGCGTGCCCCAGGACAACTTCTGGGTGGTGGAGAGCTGGAGTGGCTGGCATGTAAGTTTCTTTCCCAGAGAGTCTCCCTGCAATAGCGACAAGTTTGATGCTAATGGCCACATCAGGACGGAATTGCCCAAGGGGAGACGGCGACGGTCGATCCGTTGATCGGTGACATCCTGGGGAGGCCGCCCAGAGGCATTGAGGAGATGGCAGCACGTCTGTTCACTCCAGAATAAGCGGATGTTGACTGTGTTCAAGGGTACATTGGGTGAGAAAGAAGATATGGCAGAATCAACCTGGACATGCCAGTGTCTAGAGTCGGGCCTTCCCTTTATTCAGCTGGATCATGTTGCCCACCACAACGTGTGTGTCGGTACGTCACCTTGATTATATATGTACAAATACGAGTCAGCGAGGTACTCGGTACTCGTAAGAGTAATCACGCCATGGACAACAGTTCATGTTTCCACAAGGCTGAGCATCGAGATCTTCGTGGCCTTTTTAAATTAAATTCCCCAGCGAGCATGGCAGCCTCCTCCGTCAATGGCGCATCCACAGCCACAGCCACCAACGGGTTGGGGAAACTAGCGAACTCTTTTGCAACCCGTAGGTACTCCGTACTCGTGGCTCTCTCTCCGAGGTTGTCCGGGCGTTAGCGGGAGAAGGACGAATGGAAGAAGCCCATGGAACATGAAGGGCACAAAATATGCCGCTGGGTCTACCTAGTTGGGTGCCCCAAGTGTGTGCACAATCTGAGACCAGCGTGAGCAGCAAGACCAGCCATACTGAAATCGTGCAGGGCCTTATTCTTGCAACAGGGCGAGGCAGACAAGGAAAAAGCCTCTGCGCTTACGCGTTGGCCTTTTCCCTGGCTCCATTGGCTATTGCTCTCTACCCGGTCCTGCGCCTTACCAGCTCAAGCCCGGACGCGTTTGTGACTTTGTGTGTTTGTCGCTCCACCTGCTGCTGGCCAGTGCCCACACCAACGTGCCTCGTTATGCACTGGTCGTGGATCTTGTGGCGATGCTGGTGCTGGTGCTGGTGCTGGCACTGCTGGGGATGCATCCTCAGGCATCCGGCGTCCTGCATCCTCAAAGCGCCCACCAGGGCTTGTTTTTTGCGTCGTAATCCTCGTCTTTAGCGATCCGGTTCGGTGTCCACGGGAGACACAACGAGCCGAGACATACTCCATACTCCCTCCCTGCCTCCCCTGCTGGGATCCCTCGTACCGAGTACATATGTATATACCTAGGTACCCTCCCAAGTCGTGTCAGGTGAGTTTTGAGTTCTCGTCAAAGAAAGAATTCCTCTCTCCTGTTCAAATTTTTCATCTATTTCCCTTCCCATTCCCCCAATCTGGCCGACCCCCATTGCAATATCTATCCCTATCCCTTGCTCTGGAAAAATCATAACCTGTCACAACCCCCCCTCGGGTCTTGGTTTTGACCACAAAAATGGGCCTGTCAGACGGACTGGTCGTGTTCCTCTGCATCCTGATTGCCGGCATCTTCGTCGCCGGCGCCGCTGCGCTGCATCGCGTCGTCGCAACCCGCGAGTTCACCGAGGAACTGCCCCAGCCCGGTAACGAACAGCAGTCTTACATGAGGATCGTGCGGTCGAGGAAATGGCCCGTCCTCCGCGTTGACGAACGATTGCCGCCGTCGACGGTGTCATCGAGCGCTGTGTGAAAGATTGAACATACGTTTTTTTCTTTGGTCAACCAATAGTTCCGGTGATGCTACAAAAGTGGCCTGCGTGTACGTGGCCCAAGTCAGCAACACTATCCTCCTTTGACAAAACGCTGTCACGTCGCATAATGAGCGTTGCTGGAGCGATCGTCAGAGCTGTCCGTTCTCTAGCGCTGCTGCATATCCTCTTGACAGACAAACGGGATCGAGGACGGCTGAATGAGTCATGATGCCTCGTCATATCGCCACGACCTCTTCTCTCAAAAGTCCTGGTGTGCTTGCGAGGAATGAATCTCGGCGCGATCCAGCCACCGCACAATGATCGTTCTAAAGAGGAATTGATTCCTGCTGCATGCGCGACAGATTCCACGACGGAGCAGCCTATATTTCGAAAGGCTCGAAGGCATCCCATCCCAATTCGTTGCTGTCATGGGCACAAAAATGAGCAGTACTGGTCTCTTGCGGGAATCGACTAGTCATGCGGGTTTTTCAGACAGAGGAAAACAACCCTGTACCGCCACCGACGCCGCCGAAACATCGAGTCCGCGATATGCGATGCTGGGGCTTCAAGAGCACCTTCAATACACCTCCCGCTGTTTCAAGGCCCTTATTCACCACTTCGCCAGAGACAGCACTGCATGCACGCACCATCAATTTCACTCGCCCTTCCATTCCCTCTCACAGTTCCCAATACCTGCCCCACGGGCAATGAACTATTTCCCACAAGGGCGTCCAGAGAGAGAGACAGACAGAGAGAGAGAGAGAAACTGGGGTTCCGACAACGAGCAGAAGAACAAACCCATCTGCTGCGCGCTGGGAAATCCACGCCTGGGTGAGACTCAGTCAGTCAGGAACGCCCAGTCGCTTGACGACCGAGTACCATGCATGACGAACGTGATGAGAACGAGGATGACGACTCACGGTGACTGCAACCGATTCATGGCGAGTGGTTTTTATATTTGTACACAAGACATCCTATAGATATACACATACACAATCATCTACTACTATATATATCCACATACATACCCCGAAGAGCATAGACCGCTGTCGCCGATTGAGGAGGCACCGATTTGCATATAGACAGGATGGTCAAGTGGGCTTTGCAGCAATGGGGGATGGCGCCTTTTGAGACTTTTAAGAAACCAAGATTGCTGATAATGGCCCGTTATCAATTAATATTCGGCCAGGGGCTTCAAGAGTCCTCTCCAGATCTTCCCCCTTTTATTCTTTTTCTTCTTCTAGAGCTTTTTGCCCTTCCACTTCATCCCCTTGCCCCGCTGCCTTACTCCCTCCTCGACCACGCATGGGAAGGCTGCGTCGTGCACCTTCTCTTTAGAAGAAGTTGGCCTCGCGGCAAGTCGTTTATAATGCACGTCTCACTTTTACAAAAGCTGCCACTATCGGCTCCTCCGCCTCTGATCGACTTCGGGGGCAACTATCCTGTCAGTAAAATGGGTCACCCTTTTCTCCTAGGTTCGTAAATGCTATAGAGAAATATCTGGTACAAGCAAAGGAATATGTTTCGCTTTTCAAAGGATCTGCGCTAAATGAGAAAATGTCATTAGTCAATGCACCGCTATCATTGGGTACTCTACAGAGCCGCATCCCCTTAAACGCCTCCGCTGGGCAGCGGCCATGTGGCCGAGACGTGTCGACTGCGGAGTCTCCCAATGTCACCATACTGCAGACCGGGTGTTGACAACAGATGTTTCCCGCCTGGATTGCGGCCCAGGCGAATATGCGCCCACTCGCCGTCGGCCAGAACCTCGACGCCCACGGGCTCCAGTCGGTCGACCTTCTTTTCCAGCTCCTCGTGCGTGTACGCGCACAGGTCGTAGCCGAAATTGGAGTGCAGGTGCTCGGCGATGTCGATGATGTTCCTGTACCGCCCGAAGCCTCGCCCGCTGCGCCACAGGACGCCGTTGCGGAAACTGTCAATCCACACGGCGAACATGCCTGCGACCCACAGGCTGGTGACGAAGCACACAATCCAAAGGTAGCCGCTGGAGAGACCCCATTGATAGGTGCTGCTGGGGACACATTGGAGAATGCCGTCTGGTTTCTTTTCGCTCTGCATAATCCAGTTGTACTTGTCGTCGTAAAACGCGTTGAAAGATATGTTTGCGCCGGAGATCACGATGCTGGTGTACAGTCCCGATTGTGGTGTATAATACCAGCTTGAGCGGGGGCCGCAGCTACCGGTAGCACAGAGGACGCCTTCTCGGATGGCGTTGAGTTGAGTAGAGTTGAGTTCAATTAATTTGTGTGTGGAGTCTCCTGGAGTGGTGATGTTGACCATGGTCTGGTACTCGACTATGTAACCCGTAGTCAGGTCGAGGAGGGTGGGCAGGGCAATGAGGTACGACACCGAAATCGCAAGCCAAATGAGGGTGACTTTGGCACGGACAGTGTCCACCTTGGTGACGGCTCGCAATTGATACCATGCCCCCTTGACGGACGTTGTGTCGAATGCCATGGCAGTGTATAATTCCAAAGGCACACAATTCTCCTGGATGATGCGAAGAATTGCCATGCTGAAAAGGTGATAAGAGAGCCAGGTTAAAACCACTTGCGCACCTCTGCCCAGAACCAGATTGATGCCTGCATCCAGGATCTTGGCCGACGTGTAAGTCAAAGAACCCCAGGCGAGGTTAATGGCAAACTGCCCGGAGTAGAGAGAAGGCTCGCAGGGAAAGAAGTTGCCTGCAAGGCCGTGGTTCCCATAGTATTGGAGTAACGGGTAGAAAGGGAATCCAGCATTCAGCCCAGGATAGATGGAGCCGAAGGTACATCCACCGTAGACACAAACGGCCGCAAAAGTTATAAGGACATTTCTGAGCGTGCCGAATTTGCGGAGAGGTCTCAAAGGTTTGGGCGGCAGGACATGCGGCGGTAGAGGCTGGCCCTGGTTCTGGCTCTCAAAGGGCTGGTGGAGGTCGTCCCTCGAGGAGTTGGAGCTTAGGACATTGAACTGAGGCTCTTTCAATAGGTATTCCTCGACTAAAGGCATTTCGAGGGCATGGACAAGCTTCCAGGCAGTAGATCTGGGAGAGAAGGAGAAGTCAAACAAGACGAAGCACCGAACAAAAGGACCTACCACGACATTTTAAACTCGGCGGTTATCAACATCCCCTCGATTGTGCGGCGGAGGAAAGACTTTGCGACGGTCCCATGTTAGCGACGCCACGTGGAGGTGAGCCATCTCTCCGAAGAGTCGGTAAGTCGTCGTTGATGGCAAGAGGACTGAGGTCTAGAGGGTCTAGAGCCAGGGCCCCTTTAGTGGTGCAGGAGTTGGTGCAGGTTAATCTCGCAAAGAGGCCGATTTGGTCAAAAAGAGACACGCTCTAGGTTTCGGTCCGTGCGTAGCGAACATGCTAAACCCATACAAGCACCAACAAGCATCGACAAGCAACGTCTTCAGCCAGCCTCGACCATACGCCACACGCCACAGCCGGACGAGTACGAGGACGCGTAAATGCTATTGACATCCTCCAAGCGCTCCCGGACAGCGTGAAAGTGGGCTTGGTGTCTTCATTGGGAGCAACAACTGACATAACTAATTATACTCTGTAGAACGCACTATCTCGCTATGTCTGATCGAATCCTCCTCAGCGAATATAAATCGGCGAGACATGGCCCGTCTGTGAAGAAGACCCTGTTGCCACCTACATAGCATGTCTGGGCAGGATGATGGAATGGCCTCTAGCCTACATACAAACCCCTTCATCATCGACCATCTGCTCTTCGGGCCGAGTCTCTGGGGCAGAAATGCCAGACCATGTCGCCCTGGCTCTCGAGTCGCAAGGGCCATCTAGCCACCGTGAAGCTGATGCTTATGTATCAGCTCAAATCAATCACAGGATCTGTACGCGGGCATCTGAGCTTTCCCTCTCCTGGGGGTTTATAAGTATCCCCCATTCTCACAACCAAGCCGGATCGTGCCCTAGCAAGTCTGTTTGAACCACACATTTCCGTTCACATCCAGTCCAATAGCTTTCACGCGCCCATACCTCGCAATGTCCGTGTCTCCATACTCCGTCCAGCACGACTATGAAGTCCAAGAGTACAACAAACGTCGGGCGGCTTGGAAGGAGTCGGAGAAGAAGAGGAAGCAAGAAGAGAAGCTGCTCCGAGATCAGGCTAAGCGAGACCGAAAGGCGGCTCTGAAGCAGCTGGCCGAAGCGGAAAGAGGTAATTCCCGGCGGCTGGGTTTGCATGCTGATACATCGTCGCTGACACTGATACAGCAGAGCCTCGAAAGACCTTTGGGTGGTTGTGTCGGAAAAGCCCGTCGAAGACCGAGGTGTTTGCGGCGAAGAAGCTTGAGGATGACAGTGACTCGGATGAAATTTCTTTGCAAGCTGCGTTGGCCCCGGAGCTTGGAAAGCGGTCATAGCCTTGCATGTCGACCATCCTGCTGGCGCGAAAGTCTCATTCTTTTGTCTGTCGACACAACTCCATCCAATTTAACCTCCCAAACTCCACAACCCGTTGGTCGTCCCTTTTGCTACGACACCACCCAACCACGAGCCTCTCGCCTCAATGCCGAGACTCACACCCTTGGCCCCGACCCACTGACTCACCCCGGCCGTCACGGCGACCTCATCGTCACAAGGAACACGGATCCAGGCATTGGGGCCCTCCACTTTCAGGATGTCCACGGGGATGGCGGCGCCGGTGAGACCGAGATACTGCTGAAGCGCCGATGTGAGATATGAGCGCAGTGTAATTTCGTCCAGCGGCTGGTCGACTTGGAGCGGTGGGGTGGCGTGGAGGCGGAGGTGGAAGTATGAGTGCGGAGGGTTGCGGAGCGTGAACGTGGTGGTGGTGGCTTCTTGCGCAGGGCCAGGTTCAGTCTTTGTCATTGTTGTTGATGGTCGGGAGTATTGGAGATAGATGGTCGAAGGCACGTAGGTGACGACGTGTACCTTGTAGATAGACAGTATGCGTGGTGGGGAGAAAGATTATTTATTGCCTGACACAGTCATTTCCGTCCTTGAGAAGCACGAGGGACTCAGCATGGAATGTCATTACATATTGTCAGACAAAGCCTTTACTACGTCGTCGCCCTCTCCTCAATCTGCTGACCTTGAGAGTCTACGTAACATCAACCATCGAGATAGAAACTCTTTACACCAAGGCTGTGTGCTCTTGATGTTTTCAAGACTGAGCTCTCTCACCCGCCAACTTCTTCCACACCCACAAATCTCGGTCCTGTCCAAAACCATGTCGTCGTCAACCACCACCACCTTCACTCTCCCCAACACTCCCTCCAACATCCCAATAACCCACCCCTCCACACTCACCCAGGACCAACTTCTCGCCTTCCCAGCCTTCAAGACCTGGCTGAGCACACTGCAAAGGAGCCTCTCGCTCCAGCACACCTCACCATCCCACCCGTTCCACGAGTCAGCCTACGCTCTGAGATCCATCGAGATCCAATCCGTCGACTTCTTCTCGGGCCACCGTCTGGGTTTCCTCAAGTTGAAGGCCACCGTGACAAACGACAAGGGCGAGTCTTTGCCGGGATCGGTGTTTATGCGAGGCGGGAGTGTTGCCATGCTGATCATCCTGACACCGTCTGGACAACCATCCTCGAGGACGACGACAACGACAACGTCCAAGGAACCGCCCCAGCCAGAAGACGACGACGACGAAGAGTACGCAATTCTGACAATCCAGCCCCGCATCCCAGCCGGCTCGCTCGCCTTCGCCGAACTGCCCGCCGGCATGATCGACGACAGCGGCACGTTCGCGGGGGCGGCCGCCAAGGAAATCCACGAGGAAACAGGTCTGGAGATTTCCACCGACGAACTCATCGACATGACGCAACTCGCCGCCTCCTCGCTCTCGCTCTCCCTCACTGACACTCGGGAGAAGAGTGGCTCGGAAGAAGAACAGCTACAGTCCGCCATCTACCCGTCCCCAGGCGGCTCCGACGAGTTCATCCCCATCTTCCTCGCCCGCAAGACCCTCCCGCGCCACCAGATCGAGGCGTTAAAGGGCAAATTGACCGGCTTGAGGGACCACGGCGAGAAAATCACGTTGAAGATCGTCAAGTTAAACGACGTGTGGAAGGTCGCGTGGAGAGATGGCAAGACCTTGGCAGCCATGGCGCTCTATCAGGGCTTGAAGGGGGAGGGAAAGCTGTGATCTCGACTCCTAGCCACGAGAGAGAATCTGTCAAGTTTCCAGTGATGACTTTTTCAGGAATCGCTCTTTTTATTCCCACGCTCTCCCTCCTGTCGTCACACGTGTGGGGCGATTGATGGATGACTCTCACAGCTGGGGTATCTAATACAATCCTACATCAGAAGAAGTGTGCCGCCGAGCAGGAAGAAAGCGAGCCAGAAGCCTGGACTTCCGACTAACCAACTCGTCCCTAGCGAGCAGCAGAGGACGAGCCCGAACCGTTTGGCACCGAGACCGTCGCCAGGTACTTCTCATGCACCTTCCTCTGCGCTTCCCACTCCTTCTTAAGCCTCTTCACCCGGCTTGCCGTCAGTGGCGTTCCGTCCTTGGCGGTCGTCGGCACGCCATCCCCGTCCCACGCCGAATACTCCGAGGAGTGCGGTGGTTTGAACATTTCGGTAGGGCTGAGTTTGGCCTTCTGGAGCTTCTCCTGCGCCTCTCTTTCGCGCTGCTTCCTCGCTTCCTCTTTTTGGCGGGCCTTCTCCTCCTTCTCGCGCCGGGCGGCTTTGAGGCCTTCGGTGACGGGGCGGACCAGAGCCGGAGCGTTTTCTCGGTCTTCGAGGAATATGTCCAGGTGCCAAAGATCGACGTCTCGGACCCGGTCGCAAAGTGCGAGGATTTCTTTGTTGAGATCAGGCGGGGATTCCGTGCTAGTAGCGGGTGAAGACGCTGTTTGAAGGGCGTCTCTGCTGAATTCGCTCAGTGCACGGGCATATGAAGGCCGAGGTCTTCCAATTGAGGGGGCTTCTTCAAGGCCCACTGGCGTAGTGGAAACAATTTCCTGGACTTTCTCGGCTGTGATGGATTTGGCAATGGCGGCTTGTCGCAGTTCGTCTCGAATTTTGGCCAGTGGGTAGACAAACTCTTTAGCGGCGTCCGGGATCTCGATACCTTGCCAGCCCACCTGATCAGTGTCTGCTGGCTCAGAGCCGTTCAGACCGAAGATGTTGAGTAGACGTGTGACAAAGATCCCGACCCGACGATGATCCGCTGCTGTCAATTCGGAACTTTTGGCGCTGGTATTGTATGTGTTTATTAGCTGTGAGATGATGTTCATGGCGATCGGCGTGTTGAAGGAGTCGAGTAACGCAGCTCGGACCTTCTCTTCTGCATCCTGTACGGCATCTTCTAGGCTGGCTCGCTGCTCATCCGAGGGGTTTGTGTTCTTGATGGCATCGACGGCATTGAGAAAGAAGTTATCCACCCGGTCTTCCCAGTTTCTGCCCTCGGTGACCATGTCGTCCGTGATCTCTATCCCGTCTTTCCAGTTCCCGAGCAGGAAAACGATCCGCAGACTCCTAGAAGTCCAGTCCTTTCTGACATGAAGCGCCTCTCGGATGGTGGTAAAATTTTTCAGCGATTTCGACATTTTTGATCCCTGGATGGACAGATGACCCATGTGGAGAAAGTAATTCACCCACTGACCATGGTTTGCCCAGAATGCTTCGCTCTGGGCAAGCTCGTTGTCATGGTGAGGAAAAGCCAGATCGATCCCGCCAGAATGGATATCCATCTGCTGACCGAGCTTACCGGACGCCATGGCCGAGCACTCAATGTGCCATCCAGGACGACCAGGCCCCCATTCACTGTCCCAGCTTGGCTCGCCGGGCTTTGATGCTTTCCAAAGGGCAAAGTCGGCGTCCGACCTCTTGACAGATGCGTCTTTTTGTGACAGGGCACCTTCTCCGTCCGCCTGCAGTTCCTTGTCGTTTTTGTTCCATGGCTCTAATCGGGCATAAGGGTACCCGGCGGCCTCAAATGCTTTTATGTCGAAATAAACCGAACCCTCTGACGACCTGTAACCCATTTTGTTGTCGACAATCTTCTTGACAAACTCCGCAATCTCTTTGCCGTGCTCGGTGACTCGCACCAGGTCATCGGGATCCATGACATTGAGATCATGCATGTCTTGGAAAAATCGAGTTTCATATTCCTTTGTGAGTTTCGTGAATACGCCATAGTCGTCCCCGCGGATCGTTTTACCAAACTGCTCGTCCAAGACCAGGCACATGGGATCGCTCACGCGGTTGTAGAACTCGTGCGGTGTCAGGAGTTTGGGATCTTGCATCAGAGCCTTTGCCGCGTTGCGAGCCGTGTTGATGTGCATCTTGATCTTGGCCTCCTTGTCACCTGGCTTTTCCCCGGGCTCCAGACTTCCTCCTGCAAGGACATCTCCATATATGTGTTCGATGAATGCGTCGAATGAGTCGGGCGTGACTGGATCCTTGGACCCTATGCGTTTCAGGTTCTTCTGGATGTAGTAGTGCCATGCCTGCCGGGCGTCCTGACGGACTTGATCGTCGATGTATCTAGATGGCAGTCAGGAATCTATGAAAAGAGTGTTCATGCTGCTGACTCTGGTACCTGTGGTTCTTCTTGTATTCATCGTATAGATGCCGTTGCCTTGCTCTTAAAATGATCTTGTCATCAATATCTGTGGTGTTCATCACAAAGCGAATTTTGAAGCCAAAGTAGTCTCGCAGAATCCGTCGAATGATGTCCGTGGTCACGTAGTTGCGGGCATGGCCCAGATGGGCGTCGTCGTAGACCGTGGGACCGCAGGCATACCACGAGATGTGCCCTTGTTGTATGGGGACAAAGGGGACTTTGGACCGGGTCAAGGAGTTGTAGATCTTCAATTGCGGCTGGTGCGTGGTGCCCGATGGCATGGCCCAGGGAGGTTGAGCCATTTTGGTGGGTTTGTTGCAGAACCTCAAGGCTGATGAGCAGAAGGCACGCTTCAAATAGCTCATGAGACTCTGGGTCTGCTCACTGAGTCACCTCCCCTTGTGGTCGGGCGCAGGCAAGGCACTTTTGAGTCACGCAGCGCACGGATTGAACGATTGGAATGAGGCTCGGAAAATCGCAATAATACCCCGGAGCCACTTCGCCCACTTTAAATCTGAAGACTCGGGAAGCTAGGAGCTTTTGGGGAAACGGGTCAAGATGATGCCACGAGCGCCCGCCTCATTTTCATCTTCGAGGCTGGAATGTGAAGCTGAAACATGTGTGAATTCATTCGGATTGAGGATCGACCTCTCTATGCAACTGCAAGCTTATCCGCTGTTGGTTGTACGTCCAAAGTCAGAACGCTGGTGAACAATGCAAAAAATCCCCGTCTAATGGCTCCGTCACGACTTTTTCCAAACCACCCACGAAACGCCTCTTCCGCCGGCTCCCTTGTGCTGGGAGAACCATTTGTAGCCCATCCAGGCGACCTTGAATGCCACTCCCCATAGAAATACTGTAAAAATGAAACCCCACCAACTCCCAGAGCTTTCTCGTGGAGCGACATCCGAGTATCCCAAGATCTCACCCTCTCGATCCAAGGCACCCACACGGAATCGAGAATAATAGGATAGTTGTGATAAATCAAAGCTCTCTTCAAAGAACTCCTTATCAATGAACTCGAGATCGGTCCATTCCTCCTCATGTTCCCCTGTGCCGCCTCCCTGCAACACCCACGCTTCTACTTCGGTCGCCCCATTCCAACTGACGTACAGTATATCGTCCAAGATCTTCGCTGCAGGCGGCTCGCGAGGCTTGCCAACCCAATTGGCTGATTTGAAAGCCCTGTACGAAACTGCTGTGTCGAAAACGTGAAGCCATTGCGCGCCGTAATGAACCTCACATAGCAGAGTTCCGTCTAGAGAAAACTCACTCAAAACCGGCGAGTGGCCAAAGCCCACAAACATGTGTTTGCTGTCAGGAAGGTATTGCGCCGAACCTTGAGAAGGTGTCCGCGTGCGATATTGAGACACATAGGAGTGCAGGAGGGTCACAGTCCTGTTGGCTATGTCCAGTTGTAGCATGAGCGCTCGACTGTATGGGCCGTCGACATGCAAAGGCCCTCCTTCCTTGTTGTCGAAAACCGTTATGATCCCTTCTTCTTCGTTGACCCACCGGGCATCGTGCTGCCACCGGAAGTTGAGAGCATCACCCCCTGAAAGGTCCTCGAATTGATTGCGCTGTCCACCAAGAATCCATATGATCTGCCCATCCGGGCCGATGCAGGTGACCGAATGAGTATGGCGTGAAGAGATGAGATAGTTGCCCTTGGAATCTTTGTCGACGCTGTTGATGTGGAAGAAGTCGAAGGGGATGCTTTTTATGTAGCCGCCAAATGGGTGGGTCATAAAAGTCTCATTGACTTGGAAATGCTCTGAGGCTTTCCACTCGAAAAGTAGCTTGCCGGTCGCAATGTCAACTTCCTGAAAACCACTGTCGGTGAGCCATCCCTTCTTCCGCTTGCCCAACGGGGTGAGATCGGCTGGGGTAACGTTATAGAATGTCAACAGTGCAGTGTTGTCTTTGGTGATTTTGAACTCGTGCAGGTCGCCTTCGATCTCGCTTTCGTGCGCAACTGCTGAAACAGTATGTTTGATCTCGTAAAAGCTATCAAGCTGTTCCTCTGTTAATTGATGGTAGCGTTTCTTGAATGCACACTCACCATGTGATAGACACCTTTGCCCATGGTCCCTCCCTTCTGCCCAGACCAAAACGTCAAGTACTGCTGACCCAAATAACTCTGCACTTTCAGATTCGTCGTAACACCAAAATTCTGTGCTTTCCAAACAAGCTCGCTGTTGCTGTCCAGTATCGCCGGACCAGGATCGGCCATTGAGCCTCCATTGTAATTGAGGAAGACATACCCCTTTTCACAGTCTGGGTCGTATTTGCTTATGCTTGTCCGCGGCGAAGTCAAGCCATTTGAGATATACGTCTGTGAAGGCGAACCACCATAAAAACCCAAATCATACAAGGTTGGATTCAATGTCGGAGATAACCAGATAAGGAGCGGAATCACAGCATATGAAATGGTCAGATAGAGAGCAAATGCACCGGCGACGACAACGACAGCCCAGAGGAGAAGCCGGATGGCAAATGGCTTCATCTCGAAGCGTCGACGCGCCATGGTGAGCGTTGGAGCAGGGGCAAAGCAGCATTGTAGCTGTCCTTCACGCCCAAGAGGAGGCCAACGCGTACTATATGCCAAACTTTACATGCGTTTCATGGCGAACTGGGGGAGGGATAAAAGGGCTAGCGACCATACCAGGTGACTACCAAGCGACGGTGTGTCTTTTGACCAACCATGATGCCTGCTGCACTGTTGACGACATCCCCGTTGAGCATCAGAGAGGGCCGACCAAAGTAGCAATTGATTCATCGGCGCTTGATTTTGAGACCGTAGGTGATAGTCCGCGTAATTTCGGGGTCGAGCTTGGCGGGCAACGAGCTTGAAGGGGGGCAGATTTTCCTTGTTCAACAACGTTAGACAGGTTAGCTGGCAGCATGTGGATAAAGATCCCGCAAAGGAGGCTTAGCAGACGCAATGAAACGGGATCCTATCAAGACGGCATGGGATGCGACGAGAGGAAAAGGTGGGCACCGTGGGGATAGGTGGCGGGATGCCAATGCTTGAGGTAATGCTCATCTCTGCTTGTCTGCTTGGCTGCTTGGCCGCTTTGGATGGGTGGTCAAAGTGTCTTTGGTGGCATCGGTGGGCGTGAATGGTGTTGAACACTGAGCAGATGGCTTGCATTCGGTACTGAGCCTGTCACTCGGGTACAGCGCCCCCAGTACCTTGCAAGAAGGATAAGCTAGAGCATCTCCGTGTCATAAGGTCAGATCTCATCATGGACTTGGGCACACCCACAGGGTCGCTTGCCGTGCGTTGTGATCATCTTCTCCCAGCTTGCTAGCCCCTGCCCACTCGCAAAGGCTACCCAGACAAGCATGGTTTGCGACGAAGTGGGCAGTGTGGAATACCGCAAGATACACAGGGAATGGAGACGAAAAAGTCTGGTCTGAGATGAGGCGCCTTGGAGAACGAGAACGAGGATGAGAGACACAAGCGACGCTCAAGGGATGCCGTGCAAGCCGGATCAACCAGCCCAAGGTGCCACGCTCCAATCCAATGGCACGCCCGGGAATTATCCGTTTATCCGTCTCTCCTCTATCACTTCTACTGCTACCACCATCTGCGCTATCTGCACTATCTGCGCCCATCTGCGCCCATCTGCGCCATCACTCTCTCACTATGAGTAACCGAGTTGCCCCCCAGCAGAGTTCGAATAGATACTCGGAAATCGGCCACGGGCCCCATTCATCAGTCTTCGATCGACAGCCTAGCGTCACCATGGTGGCCACTACCCGTCCTGCACCCACGCTCGACAGATGATACCCAGCGTACAGGCTGATACAGCACAGCCAATTGATGGCATATCCCGAAGGCTACAAGTACACTTGATTAAACCCAGTCCCAGACTCAGTCCTCAAATCCCCAATCATGGCGGTAACAACCAGGTACAGGTTCACAACCGAACACCGCTATCCACCCTATCCACAACCCACGTGTGTCCTTCACATTCCCCTATCCGCTTCTTGCAGCCACCCTGCCACCCACTGGCACCCCAGCCTAGGTACATATGAATCAAGCCAAGACTCTAGCTCGAGAGCTCGTCGTCACCAGGAACGGCGACACCTGGCCATCGAAACCGGCGAAAGACTCCGTTTCTTGCTCTTGACATACTAGAACGCCATCCCGGCATTGCCTCTCCGTCAAAGACCCACATGGTCTGCCTCCATCCAAATCATTCTTGTCCGGCCTGCCACCGTCGAACTGTCTCATGACAGTTCCATCGTCATGTGGCCTCGCGAGAGCTTCGCAAAAGGCCCCTTGTCTGCATTTCTCGAGAATTGCTGTTCCCTTCTTCTGATCCCTAGATACGGCAAGTAATGGCCCGGGTGGAAGACAGTGAAGAGGACCACCACGAGGAACATCAGCGCCGAATCAAAAGCATAGAAGAACCACTCGTGATCGATGAGATAATTCTTCGTCCCCAAGGCGAATTCAATGAAGCGAAGCAGCGTCCGAATCAGAATCAATATATTGGCCACGTTGATTACCGTCAAGAACAACTGCCAGTTGCGTTCTTTGGGTAGTGCAACGTCTCGGAGTGTCGTCCTCAGCAGGATGTTGAGTCGGAGGCTGGCCAAGACGAAAAACCCGAATGATGCCAATTGTAACCCCAGTCCGACCAGCACCACGTTCTTCCCTGTGTTTGCGTGTGCTATCGTGTTTGCTCCGGCCACCATGGCGCCTCCGATGACCTGGATGAAGAAGCTGAAGACATCACATCCTACAAAGACGGGAGTGATCCTGCGCGCAGGCACCCAGAGATGGCGAGCTGACTGAAAGCGTGGAGGGACCACCCACAACACGACTCGGCCGAACGCCTGGTAACACGCGGCCGCCATCACAGCGGGCGCGACGAGAACTGATTTGGTTGTTAACGAAGAAACGAGTGGAGTAAGGACGAAAGGCATTCCTGATCCCCCGCAAGGCTGGTATGCAATGTTATCTTCTTAAGGAAACTTACTCATAACAGTTTGGACAATGAAGACGCTCCTGCCATCAAGATTTTTTATGGAAATAGCTCGAGTCAGATATCCCACAAACTCCACTATATCAAGATCAGTACATTCATGCTGCAGCATCTGGAAGATGCGATGGAAGACTCACTGGCGACCGCAAAGTTCATCGACCACCAAAACCAAGATCGGTGCCAGAACATCTGGCCCAGGTTTGTTATCATCGCAATGCCAAACAGCACAAGAAAGACGACCGCCGCGGCGAATGATGGAACATAGTCGTATCGGCCTTCCTTTGCGAACTCTTGGGGAGATTTGGTGCCGGGCACATGCCTCGAAGCGAGCTGGAGTAGGTGTGGCATAGATTGTCCCACGGCATCCATGATGCCGCCCGCTGTGACGTGAAGAGGCGTTTCAACGAACCGAACGCGAGCAGTTCAGCTCCTCAATAGAGCGACGAAAGACCTGAAGAGCCAAGATTCTACGAGTTGCAAAGCAGAGCGTTCACAGACGGATAGCAAGTTATCGGTAAGAAATCTGCTTGACCGGCCGATTCCTCAGAGTCTTATGATACTGGGCGATGGTGGGACAGTCGTGAATCGTCGATAGGTAGGAAGATGGCGCATGGCCCGGTGGGATTCGTATGCGCCAACTTGAACTCTTTTTGAAAGGACATAGGTACCTAAGGTATATGCGCCTCTCCCAGCGCAAAATCTTTGCAGACCCATCCGATTCGGGAACTTTGTGTTGGGTTTGAACAAAGCCGATCACCCCTGAGTGGGCTGTTTCAGGGCGCCGATAACGTCGCTTCCTTTAAGCGAGCAACATCAGGCAGCAGGCATTCTTGAAATCATTCGAAAATTGGCTGACCGTTCCAACTTCGCAACCCTTGCCGCAACAGGTTTAGCGACAGCTTGAGGAAAGACTCTATCTGGAGACTCCATTGGGGCGGTGCTTTCCGGTGTCCGCCCATCCCAAACTGCGAACTACCTAGGTACTAGGTATGCAAAAGCTGCGACTTCAGACACTACTACTATGGGCAGACTCAGCCATTCGGATGTCACCAGGAGTCGATAACGCTGGAAATTGTCCGGCCTTTTATCGACCCTCACACAGCCCCAGTCACGTGGGAGGCTGAACACCCTGCTTAGAAACAGCCATGTATATACCCGAGGAGGAAGTCCATCAGACGTGCTTACATGATAATACGAGTACGAGGCAGATCCTCATGAGGCCGGTCTCGATGGACGTCCCTATCTGGTTCCACCCGGTGGCCGGGGCTGCTGTGGCCTCTCAAAAAGGGGCCATGGATATTCCGGGATTTTATGCTTGCACATCACACCACCGCAGTGTCACCAGCGGGCCAATGAACTAGACTAGTTGCTTTATGCAGCATCCTTTGCTGCATCTTCATTTATATCCGACAATTTGTCCTTAATGCCGTTCTGGTCCTGGGTCTGGCCTCTTGCTCTCAGCTTCGCCTCCTTCTTCAACTGGCGCTGACTCTTGGGCGCGTGCGACACGACCTTGACATGCTTCGACCACTTCTGCTGTGCTAACGCTTCATCTTCTTCGGACCATGCTCTGGGCAAAACCGCAAAGACGAGATACGAAGTGTGCGTTTTCACTTCGGCTTCTGTCCTGTGCACGAGCCTGCCTGCGTTGAACGGCAGCTTTCCTGCCTCGCCTTGCTGTTGCTGGCCATTGACCTTTGCGGGCTTCTTGTTTTCATCCAGGTTCTTTCCTGCGTGGAACTCCTTCAACCGTTGTTCCACCTCTCTCAGTCTTGACACGGCCTCGTCAACATCGGCTGCAAAGGCATTGGTTCCGCGCATGCCATTGTACTGCAGTCCGGTGTATTCCCGTCGAACGTCGATGCGCTTGTGCTGCACTTCGACCATCTCGATCTCAATCCAGTCGTACCTGCGAAGCGCGGATATTGTCTTTTGCGCCTGCTCGATACAAGGGCTGAATGTGCATATGTGGACGGGCGAGTGAGGGTCGAGCACGCTCGGCGTGCTTTGGAGTGGCGACTCGCGCGTCAAATGCGGGAGAGCTTCCCATGGACAAGGCAGGTCCAAGAAGATGGCGTTCGCGGCGGGGGAGGTTTTGTCGGTGGATGGGGTTTCTTCAGAGTCATAGACCAGAAAGCCATCTTTGTAGACATCTCGGTGCATGGCGTGCACGATGGTGTCTAGCCCGTGTTGAACCATTTCGGCCTTGATTTTGTCGTGCCGCTCACGGTGGAATTCATAGCTAAAGACTCGTCCAAGCCCGTGGCTCTCCTTCCCTTCTCCCTCGCCGTCTTTCGTGTACGCTCCATTCCCCTCCTGCTGCTGCTCCTGCTGCTGCTCCTGCTCGGCGGCCCTCTGCCCCTTGTCGGGGTATCCGTTGAATACAGCCCTCGCGGCCGCATGGGTGAAACTGCCGCTCCCACTGCCCGCCTCGATCAGTCTGGTTCCCGGCCTCGCGCGGATGCGGTGTAGGATGTAGCTGTAGTCGGGGGTGTAGACAACCTGAGTGCGATGCGGGAGGCTGGTGGTCCAGTTCTCAGGGGTGGGCGGGAGGACGTGCACGAAGCCCGACTCCGCCGCCACGGCTTCCTTGACCGTGACCGCTCCTAGTTCTATCCTGTCTCTCTCCTGCAAAGCGTCTTCCCCCTCCTCCTCCTGCTCCTGTTCTTCTTCTTCCTCCTCCTCTGGATTTCTTCTCCCATCTCCATCTTCCAACCCCGCCTCACCGGCTTTCCGCTTCTTCCCCGCACCGTCGCCATCCTTCCCCGTCTGCCGCTTGGCCCCTTGCTTCTGTTTCCCTTTCTGCTTGACCCTCCCCCGCGACCCGGTATCGACTTTACTCGCGCGAATCTGGCTGCCCCAGGCAACCCCGATAATGGTCGAGTGCGGGAACGAGCCGAAGCGCGTGTTCGTCACCACGCCCTCGGCGTACCCTTCGTCCGCGGTCCGCGTCACCTGCGTCGAGAGCACGACGGGCAGGGACTGGTCCCGACGCAGGTGCAGAGAGGCCAGGTCGTGTTCTTTGGCCAGGCGGGTTGGCGTGAGGAATGTGGAGACCATTGTTTTTTACCCCCCTCAAAGTTTCCCTGTTCTGAACAGGGATGTCCTCTTTGTTGTTGTTGTTGTTGTCGTTTTTTATTTTACCCCGTTCGATGGCCGCGGGATCTGGTGGTCCAAGATTGAGATTGAGATGTCTTCCTTGCCCGAACAAGTGGCACTTTGGTCCTTTTTTATATATCAGGCGGACTGGAGATAAACCCCTCCACCCTGGTGATCCTTCCTTTCTGGTCGACGACCGACCAGAGTGAACGAAAAAGAAATAATGAACAGAGAAAGAACACACTTTTCGTTGGCTCCTGAGTTCTCGTCGATGTGAAGAGTCTATGCCCCGCACAGGACTCGAAACTCCCTGGTAGCTTCTGGGCAACTGATCCCTCTGCTTTTGTTCTAAGAAAGATCATTAGAGAGAAAAAAAGATAAATGAAAGGTAAGGGGAAAAGAGCGGAGTATGGGCCAGAAAGTCATTGAAATGTTCTTTTCAAAATTGATATCACGTGCGTGTCGCTGGGTGGTGGATTTTTCTTTCACGTCTGTCCTTATCGATAGGACCCTGTGTTGCCGGTTTCTACCTCAGACGACCTTGGGAGGTTTCGTGTGTTATGCATTCTTTGGATAGATTCATGCAAATTGGAGGGCACCATATGTATATCCTAGTGCTATATGAGGCTTCGCGGCATTCCAATTCAATGGCCCTTTCAGAGCCCAAACTGCATTTTTGTACCTCCAAGATTTCCTCCTGCTCGGCCCCTGCTTGGACCTCAACAACAGCAAACCTCTCCCGCCTCGGTACTCATATATCCCAAGGCTTCACAGCCGCCTGACACACAAGGCCCGCCTCCGGCATCTCGCCGTGTGCAAAAAACCTCCTCAAGATCCCAAACGTGCACACGCTCGGGTTTGTCGTGCCCGCGCAATGTCCCGGCATGTCCTGCGTGACCACCACACTCCCCTCGTGCCGCTCCGCCATCTTGAACGCATTGCGCACCGGAGTTACGGGATCCGCCGTGTTGCCGATGAACAGCAACGGACTCGCGCGACGGTCGTAATCCGAGAGGTTGGACTGGAAGGGGCCCGTGAACCGGTTTTTCGCCGAAGGACGGTTGATCGCGGGCCAGTGGATGCAATGTAAGGTGATTTCTGCCCAGATCGATCCGACAAGGGGAGATTGCGACAATAGCAGATCGAGGTACTTTGTAAAGTCTTCCTTGGATCGGAAGGTGATGTCGTCGCCGTCCCCACAGAGGATGGAGACGCCGGATTCCAGTTGCCACGGATAGCTCGCTGGGAGCGGCAGGTCCTTTCCCATCATGAAGGCACCAGGGAGCGTGGTAGCTATGTGGAGAGCATTTGGGAGCAATGGTGCAAAATCCCGAAATTCGGGAAACGGCCAGCTCTCCCACGCTGACATGGCGCTGTAGACATCTTGCTCCATTAGAGCTTTGAGGACTAATGCCAACAGCGGCCAGAGCTGAATGGGTTGATATAGGTGCAGGTGGATGATGGACTTCATGTTGAAGTAAGTGAGGATGTAAGCGTTGTCGTTTTGGACCAAGGGTAAGGGGTTGTCCTTGAGCCCGTCAAGAAAGTCCTCGACCCGCAACCGCATCTCTTCAGGCCCACTGATTTGGGGTTGCGATAGAGCACACTTTGATCCGGCCTCGAAACAGTACTCGAAGAACTTGGTCCACGTCTTGATGTTGTCCTGAAGATTACTCGTCCATCCTGTGGCGGCGTAGTCGTCCGCGTCGACGACACCGTCCAAGACCATGCGACCAATACGGTGCGGAAACATAGAGGCGAACGTATTGCCCAGATAAGTGCCGTACGACAAACCCCAGTAGTTGAGAAGCGGAGGACCCTCATTTGAATCAGCAGAGACAAGCGTCTGCTGGTGGCGGATACGGTTGCTTTTGGTCTTCAGCTCCTTCCGAAGATGTGCGTCAACTTGATCAACGATTTCTACCATATCATGGGCCACCAAAGCCGTACTCACAAACTGACGAATCGTTGATCCGTCGGGAAATCTGCCTTTGCTCGTCTGTGCGCAAAGAAGGCCAAGGCTTTTATCAATGCCCCATTTGACACCCAAAGCATTGGGGTTCGACTCGAGGCTTCCAGACCCTGCCCCCAGGAGGTTGAGAGTGTCCCTCATTGTGTCGTCTTGGAAGCAGGCCAAACTGGGAGTTGAGAACTGTACGCCTCGGGGGTCGAAAGACAGGATCTCGAAATGCTTGTCGCCGTCCAGGACGTTTTGGATGCTCTTACCGGACCAAAGCACAATGGCCACACCAGAACCGCTCGGGCCTCCGGGATTGATGACAACAGTACCCCCAAAGGAATCATCTCCCACGTCCACCACAGCAGGCAACCTCGTGATCGCCAGAATGACCGAGCCGGGATTCGAGAGATTGGACCAGTCGAGCGGGACCTCTAACCTGGCGCATTCAAAGGAGTCATAACATTTGTGATAGTGAAGCTCCCTTGAAGGAGGGACGTTGGCCCAATTGAAATCATATGTTGTATTGACACCAGGAGGAAATGGATGGATCAAGAATGCAGCACCATGACCAAACAGCCCCGTAAGGAAGCACCCAAACGGAGTACTCAACCCTAGCCTCATATTGCTTTACGCTGCCTCCTGACACACGGTATGGATGGGAGAAATTCGTCGTTCGATCACTAGGGACTGAACGGAGGTAGATACCTGGGTATATACCTCGACGGGCGCCTGGGCATGGGACGCCCCAGACGAGCGAAGCTCCCCACTAACCAGCTAGGCAACAAGCATTGGCGTAGATACGGCAGACCCCAAGACGTGTGAAGATCTCTTCAGCTCGCCATCAGCAATCAGAGAATACCTAGGTATGAAGACAGCGGACAAGCTCATAGCCCCGTGTCCTTCCCCAACGTGATGACGTTCTGCGCATATCAGCCTTGCCTTGGCGACGAGGCTGGGTGAGGGGTGGTCCGCTGGACGTGTGACCTAAACAGCTGTTCTTATAGGCGACTGTAGGTGGAAGCCTCCCCCGGGGCCCCGACTGCTAGGCGACTGTTTAACTAACCGCCACCCGGGGAAGGTCGCCATTCGGCTTAAAGTGGTTGTTGCATCACTCACCCACGGATACGCGTCGATGCCAATATTTCTCGCCAGCACGCGACGTCGTTGTCGCTTACGGAATCCACAGCAATCACTCAGTCTAATAGCAGACAGTTCTTAGGGGTCCCCCGGTTGTTCGATAAGACGCTAGTCAAAATGAAGTGACCCTAACTCCTCTCATCTGCAAAAGCGACGCCTGGTCCGCTGTAATAATCCACTGCCAGGCGCGATGTCTTCGTCGCAGCCCTTTGTGCCATCGTCGCCCCTGACCCGCGCCAGGAAGAAGTCGCGCTTTACATTCAAACACCTCCATCTGCTCGGCCAATCTTCGACGTCATGTCCCCTGAGGTGCATCGCCCTGGTCGACTACGATGCCTTCTACGCGCAGTGCGAGATGGTGAGACTGGGCGTGGCCGAGACCCAACCGCTGGCCGTGCAGCAGTGGCAGGGGCTCATCGCCATCAACTACCCGGCCCGGGAGTTTGGCTTGAACAGGCACGTCACCATCACCGAGGCCAAGGCCAAGTGTCCGCAGATTGTGGTCCAGCACGTCGCGACGTGGCGCGAGGGCGACGACAAGTGGGCGTACCGGGACGACGCCGCGAAGCACATCCAGACGGATAAAGTGTCGCTGGACCCGTACCGGCTGGAGTCCCGGAAGAGTCTGGCGCTCATCAGGGAGATCTTGCCCGCGCCGCCGATCCAGCGCGTCGAGAAGGCCAGCATCGACGAGGTCTTTCTCGACCTGTCCGCACAGATCCACCAGATTCTGCTCGAGAGGTATCCCGAGCTGCAGTACGCGCCCTACGACGACCCCACGGAGAACCTCCCCTTGCCGCCGTCGACGGCCCTAAATTGGGAGGCGGATGCGCTGGTCGACCTGGATTCCACGGAAACGGAGGACGATGATCCCGACTGGGACGACGTGGTCATGAACATAGGTTCCGAGATCGTCCGCGGCGTGCGCAGGACGATTCGCGAGAGGCTGAAATACACCTGCTCGGCCGGCATCGCGCGCAACAAGATGATGGCCAAGCTCGGGGCCGGGTACAAAAAGCCCAACCAGCAGACCATTGTGCGGAACCGGGCGGTCCAGCACTTCCTCTCTGGGTTCAAGTTCACAAAGATACGGAATCTGGGCGGCAAACTCGGAGATCACGTCGTCGACACTTTCAACACCGACGACGTCACGGATCTTCTGCAAATTCCTCTCGAACAACTCAAGGCCAAGCTGGGCGACGACACGGGCACATGGCTCTACGGAACGATTCGCGGGGAGGACAACAGCGAAGTCAGTTCGCGGACGCAGATCAAATCTATGCTGTCTGCAAAGTCCTTCAGACCTTCTATCAATACAACCGAGCAGGCAAATAAATGGCTCAGGATCTTTGTAGCAGATATCTATGCTCGCTTGGTCGAGGAAGGCGTGCTCGAGAACAAGAGACGACCCAAGACCATCACTCTGCACCACCGGCAAGGCGGACAGACAAGGTCAAAACAACTACCAATACCAGGAGGCAAGAAGATCGACGAGATGATGCTTTTCGAACTCGCAAAGACCTTGCTCGGACAGGTCATCGTTGATGGGAGAGCCTGGCCGTGCGCGAATCTCTCGCTCAGCGTTGGCGGCTTTGAAGAGGGTGTGTCGGGGAACAAAGGGATCGACACATTCCTGCTGAGAGGGGATGAAGCCAAGGCTGCCATGGATGTCCCACACCGAAGCAACACTGCAACACCGGATTTTGATGAAGGGCGGCCTGAGAAGCGGCGAAGGTTGAATGACGGTCCTCCTAGCATTGCCCGCTTCTTCACCAAGGGCGAGAGCACCGAGGAAAGCGAAGAGGAACCACAAGCTCACTTTCAGGAGGAGGATGATGTGAGCGGACAGGGTGGCAGTGAAGCGAAGGAACACCGAGGAGACAGCCATCCTCCACCTCAATTGCACCAGCAAGACATCGCCACCTACTTCTGTCAGACGTGCCAGAAGTCGATCAATGAAACCGAGCGAGGTGAGCACGAAGACTGGCATTTTGCCAAAGACCTTCAAGCTCAAGACACACCCTCGGTGACGGGGCCGACGAATAGTCGACCACCAGGCCAGTCCAATGCCAAATCGAAGCGCGGCGCTGCGAGTAGTTCTCGAGGGCGAGGCTCAAAGGTTGAGAAGGGTCAGAGTCGCCTTGCTTTTGGATAGCTTGCGGTGATCTCCTTGGATAAAAAATCCCACGGAATGAGAAGGACAAGGTGATGTCGAAAGATCTCAATCAAATGCCTTGATCAGCATACTCCTTGTTGAACGCCCGTCCGATGACCATCCGCCTGATCTCGCTGGTGCCGGCACCGATCTCGTATAGCTTTGCATCCCTCAACAATCTGCCCGCAGGGATTTCGTTGACGTAGCCGTTGCCGCCCATCAACTGAATCGCGTCCAGCCCGCATTCGCTGGCTCTTTCGGCGGCGTAAAGAATGGCCCCGGCGCAGTCCTGGGTGCGAATCTCGCCTTCCTCGTCAACCTTTTTAGCTGTGGTGTAGGTATACGCTCTCGCAGCTTGGAGCTTGGTATACATGTCAGCCAGCTTTCCCTGAACCAGCTGATTGTGCGCGATCGGGGTGTCGAATTGTTTTCTCTGGTGTGTGTAAGGCAGGACCAGATCCAGGCAGGCCTGCATGATGCCCAAGGGGCCCGCGCTAAGGACCAGTCTCTCGAGGTCCAGCCCTTCCATCAGCACCCTGACGCCCCTGTTGACTTCGCCCAAGACATTCTCCTTGGGGACAAAGACATTGTCAAAGACGAGTTCGCCCGTGTTGGAGCCGCGCATGCCCAACTTGTCCAGCTTCCTCGCGACCGAGAAACCCTCAAAGTGCTTTTCGACGATGAAGGCCGTGATGCCTTTGCTCTTCTTCTCGGGCTCCGTTTTGGCGTACACCACAATGTAGTCGGCCTCGGGCCCGTTGGTGATCCACATCTTGGTCCCGTTCAGACGATAACCCCCGTCTACAGCTTTCGCCGTGGTCTTCATGCTTACGACATCGCTGCCCGCCGAGTGCTCCGACATGGCCAGCGCGCCCACTTTGTCCCCGCTGATCAGACCAGGCAGGACTCGTTCTTTTTGCTCTTTGGTCCCGTTCAGCGAAAGCTGGTTCACGCACAGCTGCGAGTGAGCCGCGTAGCTCAGCCCGATTGACCCCGAAGCCCGCGAGATCTCCTCCATGATCACGCTGTGTGCTTGGTATCCCATGCCCAAGCCCCCGTACTCCTCGTCGGCTGTCGGGCCCAGGAAGCCCGCTTCCCCTAATTTCTTCCACATGAAGTGTGGAAAGTCGTTTTCTCGGTCCGTCCGTGCGGCCAGTTCTTCGGGGATCTCGCGTCTCGTAAATTCCTGGACGCGCTCGCGCAATTCATACAGGTCTTCGGTGGTGGGAGGGGTGAAGTTGGCGGGATGCTTCGACGTGGTCGATGCCGCTCGTACTGCAGCTCTAGACGGAAAGCTTCGAGAGATGCGTACTCCTGAGCGGGCAAGTCTTGGGATTAGGGTTGACGCCATGGTGCCTTTGATGCTTGATTGAAGGAGATTCAAAGGAAACGTCTTTCGCAGAGACTGACTGAAGTTATAAAATAATCAATGGTGTTGATGAAGAAAATCGAGTGAACCAGGTCAGATTTAAAATTCCCCTTCTCCGCAGTTTGGCAATGCCGCTTCTAACCGCGTTGCCGAGGAGGCATTCTATCGCTGCGGGGACAAGAATTCACTGCAAATATCTCTGTTGGACTCATTCTAGTTCTCCATGTGCTCTTAACAGCGAGATACAGCCATTGGACTAAAACAGCACGTTGTCTTCAGACCTCAACGAGTTCCATGCACATATGTAAGCAATTCACCATAAACGTCGCCTTCAACCCCTTGGGCGCTAGGCTCAATTCCTGTCTTTTCAAGGCGGGACTTCAGCACATTTCTTCATCGACATTGTGCTTGTGCTGCACATTGACAATGAACATCACAGTGTGACATGATCTCAGTAGCACCAGTACAGTTTCACAGAATCCACGACCGGGAGATGCACGAAGCTACTTCGTCACGGGTCTAATGTATCTTCCGAATGCAGACTTCAGAGCCACAGCACAAACACAGCAGCTCTATGGGGGAAGTCTGAACATCCACATCTAGAATCTGTACATCTCGCTAGGATGCCCCAGAGTCAGGACTGGTACATGCCGAGAGGCAGTTGATTTGCTCACTTGCGATGGCACGGCATTCCACAGCGAGTGCACGCATGTGAACACGAGACCCTCTCGACCACTGCCCGTCGATAGGTGTCACCGTCGTCCCAGAGAATGTCGCCTGCAGGGCCTTTGATCAGGCAGCCTATGAATTTCCTAGGAATCGATTAAGACAGGCCAAGTCAGTGTGCAGCGCGAAACATTACCATTCATCGCTCGTCGACATGAGCGCAATAATTTTGGACATCTCGTCAATCACTGACGGTTGGCAATGAGGCGGCTGAATAATTGCATATTCGAGGGGGTTGCTCTGGAATGGGATACCGGGGGCATTGGTGACGCGCCACAATTTTGCTTTGCTGTCCTTTTTGTAGAAGGATTCGAGGATAAAGAGTCTGCGTTCAGCCAGCAAGGTCCTTCACGTCGCGTTCATTCACACCGACGGCTGCGGTATGCTCAGTGAAGACCAAGTAGTTGGAGAGGTGCCATTCCAGCATGGCAATAGATGTGACCTTCCTCTCGTATCATTATGTGCCTACACAAAAGTGTTTGCGTCATGTGGTCCTTTCTCTTGGTGTCTCACATCAGCTTAAACTGTTCTTGAGCAAGTCTTTTGGACGGACCAGAAAGTCCAGAGTCCAGTTGAATGCCAGTCAGTGCCAGTCGAAGCAGTAGCATGATGAGAAAATAAAGCTGCGCCGATCGTCTCATGGCTGCAAATCGGTGGCCGATCGAAGGGACAAGAGATGAGAGGTGCCTGTCCATCAGCCAACGCAGTCAACGGCGTCAACGACTCAAAGCAGTCGATGTTGTCGATCTGCGGAAAAACTGACGGTGCCAGAGTTTTTCCGATCCGACTTGTCTGTCCATCTTTATCTCTATCTCTGTCTGCGTCTGCGGTGCCATCTGAACAGCTCTTCTTATCTCGCTTTCATCAACTTCTCTATCTTACCCTCCCACATCCCACACAATGACCTCCAATAATCCCCCATGTCGGCATCTTTCCCTGTTTCTAGTCTGTCTTGTCTTGAACGATGTCATAGCCTTACTCGACCCCACAACACCCTAGCCCTTGCATCTCGGTGCCACCACAACCCACCAGCGCTGACCGCCTCTCCGTCGTCACTTTTCCACCAGCCATTGTGGGTGATTGGTGGCATGGCTAGCCTTGCTCCCACGTTGACTTCCAATCTACCAATCGCCCGGTGAAATAGCGTCATTGTACATATCAAAGGCCAAGTCTCCTGTGCAGTCCTCGTCGTACCAGCCGAGCCTCTTCAAGCTAAGCATGTGCTTTTTCTGCAGTCTGCCGCTGTGGAACACACGCCAGCCTCAACGCACTGTGCGATGTTATGGTCAAATGGCTTTGCCACTCAGTATTTTCCCATCCTTTGCATCCTTTGCCGTCTCCACAGCACCTTCTGTGGCCACTGCCATGGCATTGCCCACTTGATGATGGCGTCAACATGCATCTTTCGCGTCTCTCTAGCCAACCATCGCATCCCTCTCGGAGATGCAGAAAGTACAAGGTTATGGTCACCGTTAATTGACACAGAAAACTGCCACGGGATGACATCTATACGCAGGCTCTCTGGAGACTAGAGCTGGAAATCCTGCAGCGCTCTACCCCGAAGCCCTCATGCACCCATTGGCGCCTCCTACGTACACCCTTTGGCCTTGGAGTCCACTGAACACTTCTTGCTTTTAGATATAAGGAAGACCTTGACCCTTTCGACCCTCACCCTATTCATCAGACACACTACCCAGAACCCCCCACCCTCAAAGACTCCTACAACCATGGCACCCATTGCAATCACCCCTCCACCGGTTGAGCCTAAGCAGGCTCGACCTGCTATGCAGCGCGCCAACACTGCCAACATGGGTACGAAGCGAAAGATCATCTGCTTCTCAGGTAAGCCTGCGCGTATTGTCACACCTGACCTCATCTGACAACCTAATCTAGACTTTGACGGCACTATCTTCATGCAAGATACCGGCCATACCCTGTTTGACAACTTCGGTTGCGGTCCGGAGAAGAGGAAAATTTTGGCACACCAACTAGAGTCTGGAGAACGTTCATTTCGCGAGGTCTCGGATGAGCTCTACGCTTCGCTAGATATACCTTTCGAGGATGGCTTCGAGGTCATGAAAACTGCCTTGGATATCGACCCTGATTTCCAGACCTTCCACGAGTTCTGCGTCAACAACAACATTCCTTTCAATGTCATTTCGGCGGGTCTTAAGCCTGTATTGCGGAGGGTCCTCGATCACTTCATTGGAGAGGAAATGAGCAAACACATTGACATCGTGGCCAACGACGCCAAGATTGCCGATGATGGCAGCAAATGGGAAGCCGTCTGGAGACACGATACAGATCTCGGTCACGACAAGGCGCGATCAATCAATGAGTACAGGGCAGCTGCGGCACTGGAGAGCGAGAATGGTACAGTACCGATGATCGTCTTCATTGGTGACGGCGTCTCAGACCTTCCAGCAGCACGTGAAGCTGACGTGCTTTTCGCTCGCCGAGGGCTGAGATTGGAGGAGTACTGCATTGAGCACGACCTCTCGTACATCCCCTTCGACACCTTTGCCGACATTCAGAAAGAAATGATCAAGGTTGCCAAGGTCGACGATGAAAAGACACACGGCAAGGGCTTGCCATCCAACTTCAACCCTCGCGCGAACATGTGGAGAAGGGTCAGCAGCCGGGCCGCTGTGCCTGTGTTCGCGGCTATGAGTCCGCGCAAGGAAGAGAAGGCTTTCTTGTGGCCCGAGACCTTCACCCAGCCGGCTACGGTGCCGAACACAGAGCAAGCGAAGGCTGCCATTGCGGCGCCAGTCGCATAGGTGTTCGTTTGTGTTTGTTAAGCTACAGCCGGGGTTTTCTTTTTTTAGTCTAAATTTTTTCCATGTCTGGATTATAGCGGCAGGCGATGGGTGACGGCGGGTCGGACTCTGAAATGTCGGATACACTCCGAATGAAAGAATATAGAAATACATCTGTGTAGACAGATTGAGATTTTCTAGAAGATAGAAAGCTACGAGAATTCCGAGGAATGATACAAGAAATATCTTTCACAAAAGGAATTCGTTTCATGTCTCCAGGTTTCTCAGCCAATGGCCGCTATACGCCACTTTCCTCCACCAAACTACCTAGGTAGGCAAAATCCTTTACATATTGCCCCCAACCTACACGCACCCGCGAGTCTATTCTGGATTCCTTCATCCATCAAATTTTTCCCCTTTCAAATGCCCCTCGGTGCTGCCCATGCTGCCCGTACCCGCGTCCTTTTCCGCCAAAAAATCACAGATCCTCGCGGCACTCCACCAACCCGAGGGCGAGTACACGGACAATTCACCCAAGGGGACGGTGGACACGCAGATCCGCGATTTGATCGATGAGATCAATGGGTACGAGGGCTTCGTGACGACGAGTAGCTGTGCGGGGAGGGTTGCTGTGTTTGTCGAGGGGCCTAGAGGGGATGATGATGTGAGGAAGCGTGCAGGGGCGGGGGCGGTGGCAGGGACGCCAGCGAGGGATGATGGTGCAGGTGGGCGTGGTGAGTATGGTGCCACGGAAGAGACATGGGAAACACAAAATGGAGAGCAAGGCAAGCACAGAGAGGTCGAAGGAGAAGGTGTGGGCGGCAAAGGGAAAGGAAAAGGGATAAAGACGAATTCGTCGTCCTCGACTTCAACCTCAACGACATCGCCCGGTGGGAAAGGTGGAGGACGCTGGCTTTACGTCTCGCATGACCCTGTGCCCATGCCTACGCCTACGCCTACGCGTATCGACATGGCCGCCGGCGTCAAAGTTCCGACCAGCGAAGCGACGAACTCAGCACACGAGCCGGAGGAAGGGCCAGGGTACTTTTCCAAGCTCTTCCACCTGAGCGATCCATCGTCCTCAACATCACCATCCCCGTCCCAGTCTGCAACCTCACCCTCACTACCACTCCCATCCTCGGCGCAACAACCGCCCGCTCCGCCGCCGAGGCTAATCCACCTATCCTTCTCGCCGCTGATCCTGCACGTCCACTGCGCGACGCTGCGCCACGCGCGGCCCTTGCTCGCAGCGGCCGTGAACGCCGGGTTCCGCGAGAGCGGGGTGCAGAGCCTGCGCGCGCTCGAGGACATCGAGCACGGGGTGATGGTTGCCGTGCGCACAGCCGGGTTGGCGTTTGAGACGGTCGTGGGCTTTGCGAGCACGACGCGTCGGGATTCTCCGCGCGAGTCCGAGGGCCAAAGCGAAAGCCAAAGCGAGGTGATGCACCGCGTCGTGAGCGAGGAGTACCTCGCCCTGTGCGCGGGAGTGGTCAACGAGCGGTTTGCGTGGAATGTCCAGCGGAGGGAACGGTTCCGACGCGAGCTGAAGAGAGCGATGGAGAAGGGGGGGTTGGGTTCTGAGACCAAGGAGGCGCGATCGCGGTGGGAAGATAAAGATGACCGAAGGAGACGGAAGAGAGAAGAAGGGCTCGAGAGGCAGAAGCTACTCCAGAATGGCGCCACAAGGGACGCCGTCACGGCCGGGCAAGGAGATGAGCTGCAGGAGCTGGATCCGGATCTCACTGGGCTCGGCGTCGATTGAGAATAAAAGGTGATTCAACTACATCTGTTCCGAACCATATGGCAGCTCTAATGCTTTCGACCTCTAGCCAGGAACGGCCTTCTCTTCGCTTCACCCCTAAGCAACACCTCACCATCCATCTTGACAATCGCAAAATCCGTCAACCCGGCCTGCTCGAAATAGCTCCTCAATTCCTCCTCGCTAAACCCGGCGTGGGCCACTGTGTTCTTGACAGACTGCTTCGTGGGATCCGAACTTTCCTCCATGGCATGCGTCACGAAATCCAGAATCAGAAAGATCCCGCCCGGCCGCAACCGCTCAACGAGCCTTTTCGTGGCAAGCTGGATGTCTTGGAAATGGTGGTACCCCAGCCCCACGGCGACGAGGTCGAAGTTGAAGAATTCTGGAGAAGACAGGTGTGATGGGGATGGGTCCTTTGAGTCGAGAAGATTGCCGACCACGGCGTGGGCGGCCAGTGTTTCGTCGAGTTGGTCGTCCAGTCCCGCGGCTTCGTCCGCTGAGGACGACGTGTTGCCAGCCTTGTTGGCAGGGTGGGGATTAAAACGCACGTTATAAGCCTTGACCATGTTCTCGCTTAGGTCGATACCAGTGTACTCCGTTGCACGAGCGGCGAGGGCATGCGTGATGGTTCCTGGTCCGCATGCGTAGTCTAGGACCCGGATCTGTTGTTTCGTGTCGGATTGGGTCTCGAAGGTAGTTGATGGGTCGATAAAGTCCACACCAATCCAGTTTACATGCTGGTGAATGAATGCCGTCACCTTATTGAGAAGATCCCGTTGCCATGGTTCTGATGTGTATTTTGAGGCAAAGTCACTGTTGATCCCAGCTAGTCAGCCTTGCTTCTGCAGTGGGAGCTGTCCCGAAAAGCAAGTTATAACAACACTTGGAGAGTGGGAGCTCAAGTTGTGCAAAATACTGCGACAATGCCATTGACATACTTCCAGTGTGCGCGATTTGCTTCAGTGAACGCCTCATTGTCGGGAGGGTGGCTTTGAGCGGCACCGTGACCATGGTGATGCTGATGATGGTGTGGGGCTTCGGCCATTGTAGCGATGAGCTCGACGTGCGACGATCTGATATACGAGGAGTGTAGAGTGATAGAAGACTTGAATTCTAGACCGTGCAGCGCAACCACAATAAATAGTACCAAGCAAGTTGTGCAAAATGTATCCGAAGGTGCAACAAAGCGCACAAGGCTGAAACCGAAATTGTTCGGAGAGTTTCTTCGATCACGGAGACATACCTGCGCAAATCCGTCTGTATATGCAATGCGAATTCCTGTCGAATCTACTTGTATATGATGTTTGAAGGACTTGTCCCAATGGAATTTGGTGTCCAGAGCTCTAGAAACAGACACGAACCGCTCCCAGAAAGAGTTGGCAACGGCAAGGAAGGCGAATGAACACTGCTGACCACTCTGGGGGTGTTGGTTCAGGACGGAAAAGTCGCCGAGGTATCTGCTGTGGTTCTGTAGGTTATCAGCTTTGCAGAGTCGATACTGGAGATGCTTTGATGTGATTGTGAAGACCTCGAAATCGATGTGCAAGACAACTGGATCAGATATCAAGCAGAGACAAACTGATGACTCCGGTTTCAAACAGTGGTGTACACCCACGTGCGTTTTTCAGCCAAAGAAAGGTTATAGAGCTGAGTTCGTTCTCAACTGGACCTGTTTACCTTTCTGGAGGAGTCAACCCTCTAGCTGATATGTGATTAACGACAGAGTCCCAAGATTGTGAAGGGGCGAGGATGGTCGTCCTGAGGATGCTTTAGAGAAGGGTGAAACACCAGAGCGTAGGTGCCGCAAGACTCAGGCAAAATGAGATCTAGATAGAAAGGTAGATGCCGTGAACGACTATGCGCTATGAGACTGAACTCCCATCAAATCCAAGTCCAATACAAGAGGTTGAGATGATTTCAGTGTAACGCAACAGACTGGTCACTGGTAGCTCCACAGACGGTTCAAGGCCAGGGAAAGAGAACGAAAAACTGAATAAACGCACAATTGGTGAAATTTTGGCGTCCCCAGACCTCAATATATGATGGATTGTCGAGATTGCAAGATTCCAGGAGGCAAGTCAGAAAGATGAGAGAAGAATCACCGCACAAGATAGAGAATCCGATGACGTAATCGTCGACACGCTTCTCGACTTAACGCGTTCCCTGGCTAGCTTAAGGGGCGGAGAGATGGTAGGCACCAACGACGCAGGTCCATCAGCAGATCGAGGACTTCGAGAGATCAGTACCAGATCAGATTTCGGGGTATTTGTGCTGCCACATCAATTGTTCTTCCCCTTGCTGGGTGTGTTTGGGCTGCATCAATAACCACTCACGATGCCAGCTCGAAAACCAGGAGCGTCGACAGGGGCGTTGAAAAGGGCAACTCCTGCCTCGACAAAACCCCACAAACGTCAATTGTCACAAGTCACTCCCTCGGCATCGCCTGGGAGCAGGGCTTCGAAGAGATTGAAGGACTCTGCCGAGAAGGAGCGAAGTCGCGGCAAGGCCACTCCTACGAAAAGCAAGTACTTTCAGGAGCCAGACAGTGAGGATGACGAGGTTGACGCCATGGACGACCAGGATGAGGACGATGAGTCGGGCTATGAAGACCAAGCCGCGTCGGAAACCGATCAGCCCTCAACCGAAGAGCCTGACACAGAAGACGACTACGACTCTGAGGAGGAAAGCAAAAAGAAGAGAATGCCGAAGAAGAAGGCGGGCAAGAATCAGGGTGGAATCGCTGGCGGCATTCAGGCCGTGGCCAATGCCGTGCTAGAGAAAGGCAAAGAACTCTGGAGACCTGGAGTGAAGACGGGCTTGGGACCAGGCAAGCAGGTCTTCATTGAGAAACCGAAACCCAGGGGTGATGGCGGCATCAAGTATGTTGCTGAGAAGATCCATCCGAATACAATGGTCTTCTTGAAGGATTTGAAGGAGAATAATGACAGAGAATGGTTGAAGAGTATGTCGTGTCCTTGCTCGGTGGTTTGTGCCCGTTTCTGGCACCATTCCATTGCGTTTGCAAAAGCTTCAGCATCCACAATACTGACATTGGCTTGTACAGTGCACGATGCTGACTATAGGGTCTCGTGGAAGGACTGGGAAGGCTTTGTAGAAGCCTTGACCGAGCGAATTGCTGAGATTGACGAGACGATCCCTGAGTTACCGCCAAAGGACCTGGTTTGTGCAGAGAGCTGCCATTTGATTATTTCTCACACTAATACGCCTGATATCAGGTCTTCAGAATCTATCGAGACATCCGATTCTCCTCTGATCCGACTCCGTACAAAGTATGTTCTTCTCCGAACCCGCTTTTCGAGGGGAGAAATCATGTTACTAACTCTTCTCGAAGCCTCACTTTTCTGCTGCTTGGTAACGGCTTCTGGTTACCTGCTTCTGAATCTTGTATTGACCACCCCCAGGTCTCGAACTGGTCGTAAAGGACCTTATGCATGTTATTATGTACAAATCCAGCCTGGAGGCAGAAGTTTCGTTGGTATGACAACACCCATTCATCGGCGACCCGACCGCTAAGCACTCGGTGTGACAGGTTCTGGATTGTGGATGCCAGAGTCCCAACCATTGGCACTGCTGAGAGCGAATATCGACCGCAAGCCGAAAAAACTGAGGAGGGTCCTCGCGGAGGCTCAGTTGCGGAAACAGGTTCTGGGTGTCGCGTCGAACGATGAGAAAAAGGCCATCAAGGCCTTTGCCGACCAGAACAAGGAAAATGCGCTGAAAACGAAACCGAAGGTATGTGTCATCTTGTATCTGTACAGACTGCGCTCGTGCACACGAAGAAGGGTGGAAGAACGACTCGCAATGGGCTGTTTAAACGCTGCTCCCAAATTAGCGATGAAGGTCCTGCATCCAAAGTAACATTCCAGTAAAGCCTGCGAGGATGAAGGCCCAGAAGTGCTTGAACGACAAAATTGTAGTAGACAATGGGTACCTTCTCGCGCAACTGTACCAGCGACCGAACAACACCGTCTGATTGACGCGTCTGCGGCACACCTGAATGCCCCTGAGGCAAACAGCTCAGGTTCTCGACCGCAGTCAATGCAAGGAGCTGGAACTAAACATCAGCTCGCCAGGGGTTGAGGATGAAGCCACCAGGTTCCCGCGCAGCAGAGGCCAGTGATGCATGTGCGCACAATCTCAGCAAATGAACTGCGTTGCAGTTGCAATTTGAGCCTGAAAGGACTAAGAATGGGAGCTGCCGGGCTTCTGGAGCGGGAAGGCCTACAAGTGCCCCTCCTGCCTGGCAGCCAGATTCTCCGGGGCCTCCCTTGCTGGCGGCAGTGCGCGCAGTTCTCATCTCCACTGCCGCATTCCTCATGCCCAAGAAATCACTCCTGAACGGACTGCATCTTGAGTTCAAGTGTCTGGTACCGAACATTGCATGATCTAGACTGAGTTGACATGTTGTCTTTGACAGGGCTACGAAGCAGACAACCCAAATATCGAACTCCTTCGGTTGCGCAATTTCACCCTAGGGAAGAGAATCCCCGACGAGCAGGTGATAGGGGAGCAGGGACTGCCCACCATCCTCGAGTTAATTCGCGTTATGGTGCCTTTTGTGAGTCCACCCCTTTGCCTCCCATTCGTGCGCGTCGTGAACCTGGATTGTGCTGCCAGGTGCTACCCTGATGAACTTCTGATGTGACCGGCACTGGGACTGGATAGAGCATCCACGTAGACTTTGCAATTGTTTGGGTGCCCAATCATGTGTCACTCATCTTCAGTTCAGAAGATGAATAGATATGGCGAGATGCCCGGGCCGCCGTGAGCCCAGGCGGTACCTACCTAGGTGGTCTGGAGAGTTCCTCCCCCACCTGGCCCGTTGGGCACAAACTCTGAGTTTCTTTGACTAGAAAGCCAGGAGATCTTTTTGCTGACTGTCGGCCCGATTAGGTCACATACCTCAATAGTGTCGTAATGCCAGACGATGATGGAACTAGCAACGACGAGGCCACTGACTGAGGATACAGCCAGGAGGGCGGTGATGAGGCGAGTTCTTGCCACGGTCTTGCGAGCCAAGGTCTGGTGGTGAACGGAAGAACTTGGGGCTGCCGCCTTTGGTTGAATCGCCGAATGGTTCATGCATGTACAAACTCTGAAGTGCTTGAACGCCTTGTTTACATGAAATCACTCACCTTTGATCCATTCATAATTCCTCCGTGATATTCATGTCTGTCACCAGATACCAGGGGCACAAGAACACCAAGGGGTAATGGATGTTTGCCGCCGGCCAACCACATCATGGGCTAATATCATTGGGCAGCCACATCCTGTATGCCAGGGTCAAGTACCGTGGTAGTCGCATCTGGAGTGCTGCGGCGGCGGCGGGTCAATGGGTGACATTGTGGAAGCAGAAGCCCGCAAGAACAGCTTCAGCTTGCAGCTTGCCCCGTATGAGGTACACTGGAGTAAAACGTGGTGGTGGCGGTCACTCTGGAGTCTGACGTGGCAAGGGACTGACTGGGGACTTCGTCTTCGAGCAGCGTGTGCGAGGTACCGAGTATGTAGCTTTCCATTTCGGACATGGTGGCAGTGTGCTGTCTCAGGTGTTCAGCTGAACAGTGACCAGTCCACTTTTTGCCTGAAGGTGCGGCCAGTCGCAGCTGGACGGGGCGGGGACCGGTGACGAGGGGGCGTTGGGCCAGATCAAGCCCGACAAGGAGAAATTGCTGGAGCTTCCCTGGACACACGATGGAGTGGTGGGTGAGTGGGTGAGTGGGAGGAATTTTCTGACTGTCAGGAGCCTGGAAATGGCGGTCACCCAAGGTGGGCTGTTCGAGGGGTGGACCAAGTGTACCAGGTGTACCAGTAACAGGCGGTGGCAGGCGACTGACTCCATCTCTTTTCCGCCATGTCAAGAGCCGAGCCGCTGCGTCAAACCAAAGTCATGTGAAGGGCTTCTGACCTTGCAAATGTCCATCCGTCAGACCAAACACAAGACCCTTTCGAACGGATACCAGACGCGTACATGACGGATTCAGAACGTACCAGGAATATTACCGCATGCCAGCACACCTTCCCAGCCTCTCGACTCTGCCCCCAGGCCTGCGCCCAGGTACCTAGATACTCTCCGTAACTGGAACGAGAGGCCACTTCCCACCCCCGTCGACGAGATCAATATTGGCTGACTTTCGGATGGACTGACAAGATTTCGGTCTATTCATTCAATCGTCTCTTCTCACTCCGTTGTTCGAAGCTGACGTATTGATTGCAGGAAAGCCACTTGCCACATTTCTCCCAGAGACGCTGTATGCAAAAGGAGTCCAAAAAAATATCAATGACACACCCGACAATGACAAGAGAAGGAATCGAAAGGGAAATTAACCGCGCGAGGCCGGGGTGGTCGACTCTTTACGTGGGACGATCAGGGCTTGACCGCCCGGGGCCTTCGTCGAGCCATCAACGGGTCAGGCGGACACACGCATGAAGTCGCTCGCAATCTGGTTTGTCTATGATGCTGGCACGATGGAAGGGTCGATGGCGGCCCGTCTGCAAATGCGTTCCGATTGCTCGGCTATGCCAACTCCTCGCTCTACCCTTGCAGGCGTGCGTGTCTCCTGCATCCTCCATTCGCTTCCAACAAGTCGGTTGCACCACCAAGGAGCGCCCAAAGCTTCTTGCTGGGCGATTTACCAAGTCTGGGAACCGGAAATGTCCACAGGAGCGGGCAGTCTGTCCTTCGGGATCAACCCCCGTTGATCGACCCATACACCAACACCGCAGAAACTACTTTCTACATTGAGTTCCTCACTTGTGTAGGGATGCCCTGTTTTGTTGGGGGCAGGTTGGTGTTTGGGCCCACGACACCGTCTTGAGCCTTGACAACTGTTCACCGCGGTGGGACTGTCGCTTTCCGTGTCATCAGCCTCCAACATTGAAGTTTCCGTCCAAAGCTCAAAGCGATACCTTAAGCCGTACCTCCAGTGGCCCTCTACTGCCTACGTGTTTCTTTTGAGACGACAAACAAATCAACCCTCTCCAATAATCTAAGCTTTGCTTCGGTAATGGCGTTTCAAGATTGCGGGACGTCCGGCTTCGAAGGCTGGGAGATTTATTTGATCATTTTTCAACCTAGAAGCGACGCCCAGGGGATGGACTTGTGGTGCGACAAGCTTGATGCATACATAGTCTAGTCGTAAGTTGGCACCCTGTCGTCCAGCAGCACAAATGGAGAATTTTAACCCAGAGAGATAAGCAAGTCCTGCGGCGTCGATCCGAACCATTGCATGATCTGTAGCAGAGGGAGGAAATTGGGAGGCTTTGAGCAAGGACGGGCCCTAGGGCAGAGCCGAGCCTGGTGGCCTTCGCCTTCACCCTTAGGCCTTGGATGCCCCTGTCGCGATTTGGATTCACTCGGTATTGTGCGCCCTCCGTATCGCTCCATCGCCTTCCGTCCGCGCACAGCGGCCACCAATCTTTGACGCTAAGGTCCTTTATCTGGATTCTGGATCTCCTCTCCACAGGCCTGCTTCATGGCCTGGGGAAGACTAGTCCGTCAACGGTCTTTCCTTTGGTGCTACGTCACCACATACCTAATGGTCTGTCGCACTATTCCAAAGTCACGTCCTAATGGAAAAAGAATTGAGCGGGCAGGGATTTTTCTTTTCAGGGTTTCGCTAGATCCCAAGCGAGGTCAGCGGCAGAAGAAGGAACCGATGGCTTACGCTCCGCAGCTCAACCGGTGTAGCCTTGGTTACCAGCATCGAATGATGATCCAAGTGAGCATGTAGGTCGCAGTATGCTGGACTCCTCATTCGCCCTTCTCTTAAGCACCACCACTACAAAAGTCACTCTTGCTATTATTGCCATGGCTAGAGCCCGTCAAATGCACAATGGAGCCCAGGATGTGAGGGTCCGGACCCTTACGGCAAGGGAGCAGGCCACGGCGACACTGTGTTAGATCAACCACTGAGCACATACTCAACGAGTCACTAGTCCTGCATCATGCAGCAATACACAGCCTGGACAAGGTCAGATGACAGAAAGCTGCGTCATTTAGTTGCTGCCCACGAATCCTCCTTCAAGATATTTTTGAATTTGGCTGGGAGACTCAAGTGGTGGATAACGCCGTCAAACCACACCGCTTTCTCGGCATGGAATAGAGAGGCGCTCTCAAATTCGTCTGGCATGAACCTTTCCTCTAGGCCGTAGTGGCAGACCGGAAAACCTCTCAAGTTGGCTCTGGGCAAAACTGAAGGGTCGACCTCGATACACGTTGATGGTTTAAGAATACCGTCACGGTTCTGGTGTCACCCGAGAAACTAATAGAGCAAACATTTGACGGGGCAAGACTGCGGAAAAGCAGCCAACCGGGCAAAAGTCGACCAGGATCTGAGGGTGAGGCAAATCCCTAATGCTGCATACTCAAGTCGCTGTCATGTACTGCCCGTTGCTTTTCGATGTTACACGGCAGACGGGATCTTCGAAGCCTTCCACAGTGAGCATACTACACTAAAGTTTGTTGCCGCAGTTGGAAGCCTTTTCCTGAACCTGAACCGAACCCCTAAAGTCAAAGGGGTACTCGACGCTGTGGCAAGTAAAGTACTCTTGAGCCTTCCGGACAGTGCAGAACCTGGATCCGGAATGTGCACTTAGCAAGGTAAGTTTGCTCTCAGGCCCTATATACATAGATGCGTACGGAATATGTGTTTTTGGATATTTTTCGGTTGAGAATGGAGAGCTTTGGGGGTTACGGGCAAAGGACGTAACGACACGGTAAGATACTAGTGGATACGTCAAACGACCTCGTCGGGAACAGGTCCAACGCCGTCTTCTCAGCGAGTCGGCTGGCCGCTCCCAGGGAAAGGGGGATGCGCATCGTGCATGGGATGGGGCACTTCACCCACGCCTGCATCGACGGCGCCTAGAATAGGCGTTCTCTAGTCTCCTTGGACTTTCCTTCTGCATTGCATGATGCTGCATGCTTCCTGAGGGGCCGCCTCCTCGAATTACGACAATCTAGGGTTGAAAGGGTGCTGTTCGCTGGCAATGGATGGGCCGTCGTGAGGTATTAGGGTCTTGTCCAACACATGAAGCCACGAGTCAGCGTCTGCTGGGATGTTGGTCCAGCAGGGATACAATAAGGCCGGGTTCAACTCTGATTGCAAAAGGGGACGGAAGCTTCTGCAACGATTCGCAGTCGGGCAAAGCTTTTTGCTCGCGGTCCAGCATCAGCATCAAGGCGAGAGGCAACGGCCCGATCGACAGATAAGAGGGTTCGATAGACCTGGTTCCGTCGAAAGATTAGAACATCATCGATCTTCCACTTTTCTGTTACATCGAGCCAGCTCCTCTTTCCCAGGCTCTTGTTTCTTTGTATGGAGTACACCCTCCTGGGCTCCATCTCATGCACTGACCAGTGACCACAGGTGTCAACGGAGAACCATCCCCTCCACAATAGACCTCGTATTCAAGTTACCGTATCCCTGCTGCTGATCCGCTCAAGAACCAATCTCACGCAGCACACACCTTGCTCACCCACACCTTGTTCTCTTCCCTCTGAGTCTTGTGTGGCCCTTTGTCCAGGGTTCGCTTTGCCAGCTCGCACGGCCGTCCAGACGGTAATTGTCGGCGTTTGCGCATGGTTTTCCCCCTCCAAGAAAACCATCCTCTCCACAAAAAGAATTTCACATCACGAGTTGAACCTTTTACGACGGCGGCGACGACTCGGATTACTACCACCTCCACAACCCAAGGACCACCCAGATTTTACGGTTTGGTGGCCACGCGCAGCAAGTCATCCAAAGAGCTGATGCGAACCAATCGAGCCGTCTATTCGATTATTGTACTCGAGCCTCTCGGATGCTCCATCGGCCACGAGTCTGAGACTAGCGAGTGAGTCGAGTGATCACAGTGGCCAATTATACATCGCGGCTGGTTGCGGCAACCCTATCCCTGCCCTGAATCCATCCATTCCCACCAACGTCTGGGAAACTCTCAAGAACTTACTCACCTAAGAGAGGGGGACCCATCACAGGATCCCAGCGAGAGGCACGTACCTAGCGGCGTCACCATCGCACTTGGCCACGGCGGAGGTCATCTCTAGCCTGAACGCATCTGGCATATGTTGACGGGGTTGACGGGGTTGACGGGGTTGACGGAACAGCCCTCCCATCTCCAGCGAACGAAAGCAAGGTTACAGGCTTTCCCGGCCCTTCCTGTCCTTTTTTTTTCTGACAAGCTGACTGGCATTTGCCCTCGCTTGGCTCCCAACTTTGATCCAGCTGTGACTTGCGGGACCAGTCAGTGGTCAGGGTATTCTGGGAATCCATCTCATCCTCCTCCCTTTTTCGCCGCCTGCATCTGCATCTGTCCCCGTCCGCCATCACGCTCGCCATCTTCCGAGAGTGGAGTCTGCATTGGCGGCCGGCGAGGAGCGCTGCAGAACATCGGGGTCGTCTTATTATTCCAACTTCTCCATTTCGACTGGGCGACGGTCTGTCCAATAAAGACTGGCAAGGGCTTGATAATTCTTCTGTGGAACATTCGGATCGACTCGCCGTAACGCACAAACTGCAACCCCCAACAGCGTTGCCTCTACTGCAACGAATCCTGCAGACGAGATTCAGCATCTCGGATCAGTGCTAGTAGGCTGCTGTCAAGCTTGCTAGCGAGAGCCGATCGATTTGTGACAAGTGACGACGAGCGCACCAGAGGCAAACAATAATACCTACCTAGGTACTCCAGCGGACATTACCTACCACACATGAGCATTATTTTCATCCCACTCCACCAGGAGCGCCAATAGCCGTGTGTCAAACAAAGCAAGGAGAAGTTGAAAGGAGGGGCAAAGCAACAAGGCATCCCGAAAGGTGTCACCCCGCCATTATTGTTTTCTAGTAGGCTGGACGCCCGTCACCTGAAGTTGACAGGTCACACCAGAAGGAAGGGAGGTTTCCGTCTTTGTCCCTTTTCAGCCCTTGGGCACCCACCTGGAGACCTGGACTACTACTGCGTAGTTGCAAGGTATATTTCAGTCCCCTCCACAAACACCGAGACCAGTGGTCGGAGTTCCCCTTGCAGCAGTTGGCAGCATCTTAACCTTTCCAACTCTCGACAATACCTACGGATCTCGACAAAGTCCGCCAACACTTGAGAACTGGCGGGGAACTTCTCAGCTCCATTCTTGGAAGTGCCCGCCCAGCATCACCCGCATCCAACCAGCGATTTCCGTCAGGCATCTGCCATCAGGCAGCCGACCGAGGCCGAGCCACAAGGCACTTGCCGAACACAGCTTGACAGGTCAGGCTCCAAAGCTGCGGGAGAGGCAGGAGGCGCCGATTACGAGCAGCCAGCAGGCCCAGCACTACTGGCGACTACTTGATACTACTTGCTACTACCCACGACGACCATTTTTCGAGGTGGCAGCAGACCCAGCGGCAGGATCGTGAGAGGCTCACGGGCAACCCACCCACCCCAAAGCCTAACTAGCCGGGCTCCATCCTAAAGAACCCCACCTGGCGCCTGGCACCCACTGGCACCCACTGGCACCTGATGATCCCTGTCCTGCAGGCGCTAGTAGGCTCAATACCGCTTCTCCGGACCGCGTCCTTGGGTCGTCCTCTTAGTGCCCTTGGGCCCTTGGAGTGCTTTTAGGGGATTCCAGAAAGTCGACAGCCAGGCGGCCACCAGGCCTACATACATTTACCTTGGCTGCTCTCCCGCCCGAAGCCCTAGCTCCCTCGCTCCCATCCCAAAATCTCTCCCTCCTTCGGTTGTGCCTGCAGCGGTCGAGAGCCTATAGCGACGGCTTGCCACTCTGTTCCAACTAACTTCTTGAGCCCTTGGAGCCCTTGGACACCACCCTCTCCACCCCCATCACATCCACCATATCTCCAATCATTCTTCATCAACCGCCTCTTCCCTCCCATCATCGTCATCTCAGCTCGTCACGTCCTCACCGACCTGTCCACTCTCACATCGTCTCTCACCCTTTCTCACCTCTTCTCACCATCTCTGGGACCGCCTTCCTTTCGACGGGCTCTGACGCAGCCCTTCCGTCCGAACGCCCGCCCGCCTGCGAACACCTGATCCCTTTTTGTGCCCAGGGATCCAGGGCCCGACTTCGTACCATCTTACAAAGTTTTTTTTTCGTTGCCCGTACGCCTTCTAAGCAACTTAATACCTCAGCCCGGTCACCTCGCACACCCTTGCAGGACTTGTCCCTCTATTTACTTCTTCCCCCTTCGCAGTGCAGTGCTTGCGACTGCGCCCGCGCCCGGACACCAACCCTTCCTCCCTCCCTCTCTGTTCGACCTCGAGCTGGTTCTGAGGTCGACCCTTTACCCTTCGGATTCCTCGTACGCTCTGCGAGCAAAGTCTCTCTGTTTGCTTTCAATCTACGCCTCGACGGTCCTCTCCTTGCCCGTTTTCCGTTAGCCTCGGTTGTTTCCTGGCCTGCGTCAACCATCTCGCTGGAACCTGTGTCACCCACCCACGATCTTTGGATAACTCATGGCGGCGCAAATGGCGGATCCACGGGAACCTCAACGCCCTCAGTACCCCCCTCCCGATGATCCAGTCCAGGGTGGTTACTATGCACAATCTCCTCAGCGTCCTGCCGCGAGAGATGACCGGAGCCCATATCCTCCCCCAGAACCTGCGAGGCAGCAGTATCCGGACCCAAGGGCACCTCATCCATATCCTCCTCCCCAGGCATGGCCAGGTCAGCATGGGGCTTATCCTCACTATCCAGTAAGTCGTCGGGCTCTGTCGAGTCACTATATCCAGCTGACAGTTGAAAAAAAAGGATCCTGCGCATCCAGCATATGCATATCCTCCGAGGCCTGATTTGGGACAACCCCCACCACCCATGCAACCGGATGCGTACCGCCTGCCACCAGTGTATGCGCATCCCCACGCAGGCTACTACGCTTCGCCCTATCCTCCGCCTGCCCCTGCTGCTGCACCGCGACAACGTACGGCCATAGCCTGCAAGTATTGCCGAAAGAGAAAGGTACGCATCATATCCCTCGGCGCAGACGCAGTCGAGGAACGTACGCTAATGCCCAGATAGATCCGATGCTCAGGATATGACAGTTCCCCCGATGGGCGTTGCCAGAATTGCGTTCGCTTCAACCAGCAGTGCTTGTTCCACCCCGTGTCATCTCAAGCTGCTTTTGTTCCGGCGAATGCAGTCTATGGACCCAATGCTGCACGGGCTCCCATTGCTGGTCAGCCTGACGCTCGAGCTGGCCAAAATGGACACCATTATGCCCGGGAGGGTGATGCGCCGCCAATGCTCTATGGTGCCCACGGTCAACCTCTAGGACCCGCAGGACCTCATGGCCAACCCCAGTACAGCTATCCCCCGCCGCCGCCCCATGGTTATCCCCCCGCGCCTTATCCCTACCCGTACCCTCCTCCTGGACAACCTTATGACGCACATGGGCAGGCTCAAGCTGCCCAGCATGATGATCGTGTCAGTCTTAAACGTCCCCCTCCTGATGATGACCCCCACAATGAGAGTTCTCATGCGTCCCAGTCTCCCCATCCCAGCTCTCGTGCGCGCAACAGCACATATGAGTCACGCCAAAACAGCAGTGGCAGCTATGATTATGCGGATCATACCAGCGGTGCGCCCACCTCGCCCGCTACGTCGACCATGAGCTATCAATCCTTTCCTCAGCAGCAGCAGGCTCGCTATCCCAACGGCACTCAGTCTCAGAAGGGCAACGTGTCTCCGTCGGGTCTGACACCGCAGTCGGCGCAGAGCTATAACTCTCCCCATCAGGCGGCGGCTTATGATGACGGCAGGACTCCGCCACCAAATCAACCTGGCTCGGCAGGCTCCTCTGCGAACGGCAGAAGTGGCATGAAGGTGCATGACATGATTGAGCATACGCGGACTTCAGCTCCGGACCTACGCGGCAAGAACGACAACGACATGTTGAGCAAGCTCGATGGCAAGAAATAGTGAAGTTCGCTCGTGTACTGGCACCCTTTTCGACCTCTCCTCTAAGACTCTGCTACCCCAACAAGAAACCAGTAGGGCCTGCGTCTCCACAGGAGTCGGCTCATGGGGCACTCTTTTCATCATTGTTATCAACTCGACGTGCACTTGGCTTTTAGGGCGATGTCGCGGTCTCGGCGACATCATTGATGGATTACATGACTTTTTTTTCGTTTTCAAAAAGATACAACACTCGGGGCGACCCAAATCTCTTTGTTTTCATCATTATCGGTCTCTACTGGAATTTCGCCAGTGAATCGGACGAAAAGGGCTAAAATGGGATAAGATAAACCATTGGGTGGCTGTTTGATCAAGTTCTCTTTCTCTCGGAAGACCGCAAAGCTGTTACGACGTTTTTGCCCGATGGTCCTCGGCTATCAGAGCCCGATTCACCTATTTGCGAATGTTGAACGAAATGCACATGGGTGGCTATCTGAATTTTTTGTTTTTGGCTTGAACGCACTACTGTACCTGGGAAGGCTGTCTGAATTCTTTATGTTTTTCTACACGCAGAAAAGAAAACCAAACGCGGCGTTGCAATCTTGTGTACTCATAGTACCTATTACCACCTTCTCGGGTCATCAGGCAGCGGCTCAGTCTGGAGCCGTTAGTTCTCCAGTTCTCTCCCATCAAGGCGGGTGTCTCGACACCTGTCGACGAGCCCAATCGAGGCTGGAAGAGTTAGCGGTCGGACAAATCTACTGGCTGGAGGTGCGAGACGGGCGTTTGGAATACTGGAGTTGTTAATGGGCGAAAGTGAGAGGCGAGAACAGCCCCGTTGGAGCTGGGACACTACGTGAACCGGCCGCAACAAGTGGCCATTCAACACAGCCAGCCAACGAGTGACGTTTGAGCTCGGCGGGATTCTTGTTGTCTCTGCTGGCACACCTGGGAAAGGAAGAGGATGGATCAATGGACGCTTGTCGAGTTCGTCTGCGAGTTTTTGAATGCGTACAACCTTTCATTTAGTTTCTACTTGCACCTTCTCATGATAGACCGTTTCTCATTGTCATAAGATGTGCCCAATCGCGTTGCTTGCAGCGCTGATCTGGACGGTTTCCTTCACCAGTAGTTGGAGCCAATCCCCAGCGGAGACTCGCTCCCGCGGCGAGGTGTCTGAAACCATGACGCTGGAGGGCTGCCTGAGCTGGTCGAATGGCGAGGCGACGATGGCAACAAGGAAAAGAAAGGCACCGGGCGCGCCGTCCCAGCCCACGAGTAGTTGATGCAGATGGGCGATATGCAAGCAAAAACTAAAAATCAAAATGTCGTGCATTGTTTTCTGTTCCCCCACCTTGTTTTTACCCGATTCCGAAGGGGGCCCACGGGAGGGAGGGAGGGAGGGAGGGAGGGAGGGTATGCGCATGCAATGGATACCTAGGTATGCAGGTCTGGGGCGGGACGAGACTTTTCTTTTTTCTTCTTTGGTTTTTTTGCGCTGCGGCCGCTTCCTGGGCCGCATCATGGCCACATGGCCGCCCTGGCTGCCCCTGCATTGCCCTTGGCCGAGGAGGGGGGCGGCGGCGGCGGCGGCGGCGGCGGGAGACGGAGGGGGGTGCGAGATACCCGTAACCCGGAGCCCGAAAAAAGCAAAAACAAAAATCATCAGAAGAAGAAGGAAAAGAAAGGAAAGGAGAGGAGAGAGGATGAATATGATAAGGGGGGGGCGGACAGTAGGCGGCGTGGTTGGTTGTTGGTGGTGGTGGTGGTGGCGGGTGTGGTTTGATGCGCTGGCACCATACAAAGTACCTCGTACAGCCCAGCGGAAACATGGAATCCAAGGTCAGCCTCTGCGGATGGATGGGAGGGGGGAACAACGAAATGATGACCAAGTGATGCCGGGGACAAGTCTGACTTTCTTTTTTTTTTTTCAAACCTGCATAGGTGCCTAGATACCTTGACCCCCGTCGCTCTTGGGCTTGTAAAACTTGTAAGCTTGTTGATTAGCATTAGCTAGCCTGGTGCTATTTGGCTCGGTACCTGCGTATGATATATGCCATGGGGAGGGGAGGGAGGGTGGGGGTTACAAGGCTGAGATATCAACCCCTCGCCTATCTACCTACTTACCTACCTACCTACCCAGGTTCCTATGTAGCAAGCTGGCTTGAGAAAGAAAATGGCACATGTCTGACACAGAGTTGCCTGATACCTGACGAGGTGACCACCTAAGTTCAGAGACAGCTGGTATCTAGTACTAGTAGGTAGTTTAAGTATGGGGATCCCACTATGCCGCGAAGTAGAATAGAAAACCCCATCTCAATGAAGATACCATCATAGCTAACAGGGTAAATTACCTAGGTACCTACCTACCTACCTAGGTACCTACCTACCTACCTAGGTACCTACCTACCTACCTAGGTACCTACCTACCTACCTAGGTACCTAC